TGACACAAATTAAGGTTAGCGTGTCTTGTCGAGTCCTGCTGGTGTTTGACAATAATATAGGTTCCACTCTCAGGAAACCATGGCGTACGCGAAATGGATGATGGATTCCTACTATATCCTTGAAGACATTTCTAATCTGCTAAATAAAAAGTGTTAGGGGACAAAGCGCAAGGCAAATTTATCTGCAATACAGAATTCTATAATAACTGATTTATGTAAATAATTTGAATTGTTTAAATAATTCGATAATTTTGTCTATATTGCTTGAAATTAGTGTTAAATCGGCGTACAATTTAATCACTTAGTAAATATTTGTTGTGACGCCTCAAGGTCCTGTAATGTAATAAAAACCCTGATTATCCGGTAGTGGAAACTCTTTCCACTTCCTACCCACCAAAAATAAAATCCCGTTTCTCCCCTCCGTGGGGCATGGGAAAAACACATTTCTGCGTTTGTCTAAATGATTGGTATTCATAACACGCTAGTGGTTGATCAGACTTCTACGCCCTCCCCCAGGACCTCTCGCGTTTAACATAATGCAACACCGCGGTCTACGTCTAGCTTACCCACCTAGTACTTAAATATTATTTACGGCTTCATAAAGGAAATTTATGAATCCATCAATTGGCACTTTACACATTACCACACTCGAAAGAGTCGGATAATTATTTTGGATCTTGCTTTTCGTGAGGCGTTAAGGTCGGCTGGGCGTGACTAATTGCCGCCGCGTAAAACTAACGGGCTGATATGTGCCATATCGGGTAACCAGACGGACCCGTCTTAATGAGATCGCACTCATTAGGCCACTCGGCGCTCGCAATTACTGGAGTTTTAGCATTCGTCCCCACACATGGCCATCTACAGCCTTATTCATGTGACTTTCATACATTATTCACATGTAGCAAGTATACGAAAGGCAAAAAGCTGCAGGAATGATGGCGGTACCCCAAGGTTCACGGCAAGGTACAAGAAAAAAGCTATAATAATAAACGTGATATTCGAACTATCTAGATTAAGTATATACTTTAAAAATCGAAAATAAATTGAAAAAATTTTCGACTCGGCAAGGAACTCTATAAAATTTTTACGGGGTTCTTCAACTCACGCGTTCTACTAGAACAGGCATTGCGTCCACCCCCCCCCCCCCCGGGGGGGGGGCCCACCAAAGAGGACCCCCCCCCCCCCCCCCCCCCCCGGAAAATTAAAAAAAAAAAAAAAAAAAACCACCCCACGGGGAAGGCAATTTCCACCTTAATACGAGTAAACGTGATATTTCGAACGATCTTATAACTTTGTAATTTTATACTTCAATGATTTCATAAGCCCAACCCCCCCCCCCCCCCCCCTTTAAAACAAAAAATAAAAAAGAAAAAAAAAGGGGGGGAAAGGAGAAAAATAAAAAGAGAAAAAAAATTGGAGGAGGGGGGGGGGAAGGGGAAGCTGAAAGGGGAGGGGAAAAGGGGGGGAAGGGGGGGGGGGCGGGTCAGGGCCCGCCCGGGGGGAAAAATTTATAATCTATATTACATTTTTAAATTATATAGCCTTCATGTGCAAAAACATGTGAAAAATATATGTTTTCAAACAAGTATATACTATTACATTGGTATAATCTATATTAATATTTGCTGAAGATTCGTTTCTTCAAACGATCTAATCTCAGGAACTACTGGTTGGAATTGGAAAATTATGTTTGTATTGTTTAGACTACTAAGAACTATGGGACGCGGTCGACGTCTTGTTACCTATGATACCACTAAAATTTATAAAGAAGAGATTTCCAAAAACAAATTTAGATGTCAAATATTACTATTCCACGCGGATGAAATCGCGGGCACAGCTAGTTTATATTATATATGGGCTATAATTTACAATTTAATAACAATATATAGGCATAGTAATAACAATTAGAATTGCCATGTAATTTGCTGAATAGTTCATAATAAGTAAACTTACAAAATTACATTTATTTTCCTTTCACATAAATACTGGACGTCCAAGCAGTGATAAATAAATTTAGAAATAAATAAATTCAATATTATCAATAAGCCCATACTTTACAGTATCGTCTATCTTAGCCTTAATAAAGTAGAGACATATAGGTACAAATAGTGACTCAGCCCCCTTGAATCGCTAATTCTATCATTATAAGCATATGAACGCACGTATTTATCGCAACCGTTCTTGTAATAATGATTGAAGCGTCTCACATAACGTAATCGATGATACGTTACTGCCTCAAATAGACCGTGGAACAAATAACAATTGCCACCGTAGCCGACTTGGCGCGAAGACCGGGCGCTTATTCGTACCGTAGGATAGAGGAGGGCAGACAAGCCTCTTGTCAAGCCTCAAGCACTTGATAGTAGATAAAACATCCCAACAATATAACATCTAAACAAGATGCACTGAAAAATTAATTTGGCTCTCGATATTTGGAAATCCACAGACTGAAAGCGAAACGTAAATCGCTTAACGAAATTTTGGACATCCCTACCACCAATTTAATAGGCACTATTCCAGACAAAGCCAACATGTTTCAAAATTATAAATAGATAGTAAGTATCTCGTGGAGACCGTGATGTCACTTTAACGCGTTGTGTTTTATTTAAATCAGTTTAATGTTACCGGAATAAATTAAAATACCTCTAAAACCTATCAATAAAAAATATGTGAAAAAATAGGTTATCATATATAGGTATACAGAAATGACGATATTAGCTTTGACATTTAATTGATGCAAGACGGATTTCACCTGAAAAACCATCAACTCCACAATACCAGAATGCGAACATTCGAGCAACAATTTCATCGCTACAAGACAAACATTCTAATTGTTGCCAGCACGAAACACTTGACCGTATAATTGTAATTATTTTCGCCTATTCTTTTATCTTAATAGAGCGTGACCGTACATCGTATTTAGTTTCTTTCAAATAATCACCTGCATTTTACAGAAAGAAACAATGTACTGTGGGAATAACTGATATTTGAGAATTATCTATTGGAGTATACACGAGAGCTGCTTAGAAGTAGTTTCCGTCGTATCTATGTCATTGCGAATAATTGACGTGACAAAAATGACTGATGATTCTCCAAATGTATCCTTCAAACTGAAGCAAAGTGCATTAGAAGATATTTTGTAATGTCATTAAATGTTTAAAGAGGATATCTAGACATATCAAAGGTGTCCAAACAATATAATTATATTAGAACTTTAATTATTAAGCCCACTAATATTGAAAAAAAAATTGTATTTAAGTTAGGTAATATCTTTGCGTAAACTAAAAACTCTTCTTTACTCTCATCCTTTTAGATTACAATCCTAGGTAAATTCTGACAATAATATCAAGCACATTTTAGTAACATTAAATTCATGGTGATATTGTAATCTATAATGTTTTATCAGCATAATAATAATATTATACATGCAGTACGAAAAGCTATAATTCCAATTTTTCTGAACTTTGCTCTACTGATATATTTTCAGAGATAATGGTAGCTACAATTAAGATAATAGATTACAGCTTCCAAGAGCAATCTCTATCTGTGTAGGAGTAACTTATTAATTGTTTCCATGCAATTACTTCAGTAGCCAACACCGTATCGGACACGCACGAAATTGATCTTTTTAAGTGATTACTTTATTTTCTAGGTTGTAAACAAGGATGTAGTTAAAATGATATATCAGAGGTAAAACTAATAAGGGCCTGTTTATCTTCCAATGTCTAAGTAAAGAGCAAAGTAAAGCCTTATTTTATTAGTATGTAAGAAGGAGCTGATTGTAACTGTGTAGTAATAAGCTAGCAGAAAATTAGACGCAGCAGGTCGGAATATTTTCACATGTCCAGGAACAAACACCGGACCTCACAGTAAAACCGAGTAGACAAAAAGTATTCTTACTTTACAATATGGCCATGGAATTTTTGGAATTATTATATATAAGAACACAATGTACATGGTAATATTAGCCATAGTATTGCCTGATTTGTTTGTTGTTTCCTATGTTGCAAGATTATTTTATTTTTTTACCCACCTCAGTAGGGGTAGGCATGCATGATAATTTTCATATAGAAAAGGATAGCTTTAAAGAACATATAAAGCAAAAGGATCAATGAAATAATTATACTTGGTGTCAGTAGCACACTGCTTAAAAATTTAGTTACAGTAAGTAGGGAATAGTAAAAATTGGTTAGCTTGCTAAATAAAGTATTTAGTAATAATAAGTAATGAAAAGATAAAATTAATAACAAATTGTTTTTGTCAAAGTACTGAGAGAACTTTCAATTTGCCTCAACATATATATAAGCTTATATAGGTATATATTATATATTATGTTGTGTGTGTTTAGTTCATAACATAGCATTTAATGAGATAGTTAATACAAACTTTAACCCAAATGTTACAGATTTGATAACTAACTTTTATAAACAAAATAAGGTTTATCACAAATGATTACAACTTTTAGGCATGGATTTTATCACTTAATAAAACATAGTACAAAATGTTAAAAGAGAAATATAGTCAACAATATATAATTAAGTGACTAATAAAAAATTTAAAAATTGCTTAATTTTGTTGTAAACAAGTACATAAACTTTTGCTTTACCTATATGTATAAGTAGGTATAGTTTAGTAAAACTAAAAAACAGAACAGAACTCTGATATGTAATTAAAAGGTCAAGTGATAACAGTTACAAATACACATTTTTCGTAAATATTTCTATGCTAATAAGTTTATTTGTTAATCACGTTACTATTTTTTATTATACGTAATCGAAAAACATGTAAAGTGAGTAAAATAAGACGCCGTTCTCGGAATCTGACGGCTTTCACTGGAAAATTTATACATCAAAGCACAACGAGATTATTTCCGCAAATTCACAATTAATACGAGCATTTCGTTCGATACGAACGGTTTATCAGGGCAGTTTAGAAAATGTGGGCCGGCCGCGGCAACCACATACAACGGTACCTTCATTGATAATAAAAATAACACCTACCTTCATATCCGCAATTATTTGCTGATAAAGGCTCCATAGAGGAGAACAATCCTTCTCTGTAGTCCCCTCCATTGTTAAAATATTCTCAAATAATCCACGAAAACACTAAAAACACGATGCACTAGAAATCACAACACATTTTAAAACGCCATAACTATTGTTGGACATCTGTTGCATTTTCATTTTAGAAATAATCATTGTTATCCTTTACACTTCTTTCTACCTACATTGCACTACCAAGTACAAGACTATAGTAATGTAGAAAAAAGATTTTCAACAAATCAATATTTATAAACAAGAATACAGTCCTTGGTTAGAGCCAAGCCGATACAGCTTATGTTTACGGCTGATTTTTTTGAAAACACCCAATATTCATCAGTCAATTCATGTCTCTCAATTTTTGCATATCATTTATTTTTATAAAACATTTAAAATAATATCTTTTTCATTCACAAAAAGAAATTAACATGAACACCGCGACCACAAGCGAATAACACAGGAGTTACAAATCTCCGATTCCCGACGAGAGTAGCGACTAGCGACAAACTAACGTCACGGCAAAATCTAAAATCGTTTGAACGGTTCGTTTCATTCTACGAAAAACATTGTTAATGTTGCCGTACGCTAAAACAATCCTTATGCTTGATTAGGAAAACATATTATACCATTTAATATAATAAAATTCCAACATCTTGTTACTGTTCTACTTAATAACATACGTTTAGGTTTGAAATATAACATTTACATACAATATTATTTGTTTATTTAAATTTAAACATCAATTAAAAATATAATTATTATTTATTATTAGGCAAATATTGACTTCAATGATTTATTAATGCGATTATTAATATCATATCAAAAATAATTTTGGTTAACGGGAATTCTCATTATTTCCCTTATGGATTCATCGTATTACCCTTAAGTGTTTGACAATAAACTTGTTTTAATCTGTGGTTATTATCTGTTCACCGAGCAGCTACGCGCGGTTTTATAATTGTGATAAACTGTCACTATTTAGTTTCAAATTTGTATTTTGTTTATTGTTCTGTAAAATAGTATTACATTTTTTAGTTTTAATTTATACCTTAAAATAATTCTAATTAACTATGTCGAGGATACGGAATACTGGTGACAACAAACCAGGAAGCATTTACAGAATCGCTCTCGAAAACTTTGTGTACGTTTGTGGAACTAAATATTTATATTTACAAATTTATTTCGTCATTAATGGCTTTGTCGGCTTTGTTTTGTACTTTCAGGACATATAAACAAGTAGAGCTATATCCTGACCAATCATTGAATGTAATTATCGGACCCAACGGTACTGGAAAATCGACTTTTGTCTGTGCAATAATTTTGGGACTATGTGGTAAAACAAACATTATAGGTCGAGCTAAAAAGGTAAAGTTTCTTTGACTGTAGCCCAATTTTTCTTCTTTAAATAATCGTATACAGTCATGTAATTTTTCATTTGTCTTCAATTATATAACTTTTTAGATATCAGAATATGTGAGGGGAGGATGCGAACAATCTACCATAGAGATTGAATTATACCGAAACCCAGGGGAGCATAATGTCATTATTACTCGGAATTTTAACCTTAAGGATATTTCTTCGTGGTACATAGACCATAAAACAGCCAGAGAGAAACAAGTCCAAGAACTAATTGCTTCATTTAATATACAGGTTATAAGATCAGAAATTCATGTTTATGGTGAAATATATAGAAGACATGTTTGAAAATGATTTAACTGAATATATAAATTTGTGCTTGTTGACTCAGGGTTTTAGGTTAGAGATAAATACTTGTATTGTGTATGCTTAATTGGTCTTAGCATCTGCGTCTCAACAACACTAACTTAGTCATCTACAACTTGTAAATTTCAATATTGTGAATTTAGTTTTAAAATTAGTCAATCTCAAAATTTTAAATTTTCCAGGTTGACAATCTTTGTCAACTTCTCCCTCAAGATAGAGTTCAGGATTTCTCAAAAATGAATCCCCAAGAACTACTCCGAAGCACTTTATCAGCTGTTGGTGGGCAGGAAAGTGTCACTCAGTTAGAAGAGCTTATTGCAACTAGGCAAGAACAGCGTAATTTAAATAATGTCTTGGAAAATAATGCACAGTTGCTGCAAGAACATATTCGGTTAAATGATAGGTAATAACACATATTTCAATTATCTTTTTTACTATGTTATTTAGAATTCACTTTATTCTGGTTATACCACTTATATGATATATTTTCTTACAGGTTAAAAGTTATAATAGAAACCATTAATCAAAGAAAAGAAATTGAACAAGAAATAGATATTTGTAAGAAAAAGGAACTCTGGATAGAGTACCAAGACCTTAAAGAGGCAGTTAATGAATACTCAAATGACAAGAAAACGGCTACCAAACTTGTGAATAATCATAAAAAAGCTATGCAACCTCTTGAAGAATTAGTAGAAAAGGCTAAAAGTAGAATTAGTAAAATGGAGCAACAAAAGCTTAAAGCTGTAAGTTGTTTGTTACAAGAAGTTTGTTTTGAGCAAATAAAATATATGTTTCATCAGCCTAGTAAGATAGTTGGAGTTAATTTCTAGGCACTTGATTCGAAGTTGTTCTAGTGGTGTAGTGGTTGTGGCTTTGACCAATCACCTCCAATGACCTCTTTCAGAAATATAATGACAATATTTCTTTCAGGGAAGGGAAATTCACTCTCTTACTGACAAAGTCAAAGAGATACTAAACAGCATTCGGTCACAAGAACATGTTCTAAAAGAGATCGACGCTATGTATCAAGAAAAGTTAGAAAGACATCGGAATAGAAAAAGAGAGTTGTTAGAGGCAAAAGCAAAGTTGGATAAGCTAATAACGGATAAACAGATGGCGTTGGAGCATATTGGCGATGGTAAGGGAGTACAGTACCCATTTGGTGCATGGTGCAAGCATTTTTGCTTATTGGGCCCTTCTGTCCAAAAGACAGTCTAATTATAAATACTGTCTATATTCTAATTTTCTTAATTTAAACCTTATATAGCTCAATTATGTACGCTTACAACAAATGTTTTCAGAGGAAACTTACCTACTTCTCTAATTAATTAATATGTATTTTTATTTTTCAATAGACTATACAATAATCTAATGTGTGTTATTTTTTAACAGAGAGCAGTATTAAAATGAAAATGGCTGAAATTCATAAATCCATATCAGCAACAAATGCAGCTATCGACACATTAAAGAAGAAGAAGTTAGAAGTTCAGTTTGATTACGAGAATAATGTGATACCACAGATCAGACTGTATCAAAATAGGTAATACATGTAAAGTTAGTTATCTTTTCAATATAAATTATTTTTTACTCCGTCTAAACGTCTGTTTTTCTAAAAACTGCAGTTTCATAATAAAGAAAGCTATTAAATAAAATCATTCAATTGCCTTGTCTTTTACTATACAAACTTTAAAATGGTTTGGTAATTCAGCAATTGTTAGTAAATTTTTGCTTTATTTTTATTATGTTTATAAAAATGAAAAAGCACTTATAACTGTTTTAAACGCGAAACTTACTTATATTTAATTTAATTATGCACTTCTCGCGTAAACTAAAGACTATACAAAATAAATTTGATCATATAAGCGAAATATTTTCTTTACAAAGGATAAACAACTTGGAAGATAGCAACGAAAAGCGTTTGGAGATGCTAAGATCTTCATCAAGTACTAAAGACGCATACGAAGCCGTTATATGGTTGAGAGCTAACAAACACCACTTCAAACATGGAGTCTACGAGCCTATGATGCTGGAGGTATCTCTTTAAGGTCTTTACAATAGCTTTTAGGGTTCAGAAAAGTTTTTTTTTTTTTTAATATTTAAATCTTGTCACCATCATTGTGGTAAGCACTTACTAAGCAGCAAAATTTAATCCACGAGGAGATTTTCTCGCATTTTGCTAACAAGAAATAGCACAAAATTTCTCTTGTTCACCAGCAGTAGAGCATTATTATCCTAAGAAAAAAATATTGTTTTTGTTCAACGATCTGAGCAGTTGGGAGTAAACAAATAACTGTTACATAAATATATGACTCTCCTATATAGGTAGGCCGTGGAGAAATGGGCGATCTTCAACTTTTAATTATTTTATTAATTCACAGATAAACTTCCCAGATCCAAAGTTCGCGCGCTATCTTGAAGCGACTGTGGCAACTCGTGATCTAGTAGCGTTCACCTTCGAGTCCAGTCAAGAGATGAATTTTTTCATGACAAAGATGAGAGAAATGAACCTGAAACGGGTGAATGCGGTTTGCAGTCCGCCCACATCGTTCAATATTCAGAGGCAAAATATATCTGAGCTTAGGTGAGGCGCTAGTGAACCATATTGTATAGCTTAAGAGTTTGAATGCGTCAATCTCAGGAACTACTGCTTCGAGTAGATAAATTATTGTGTAGGTTCCACCATCGAGGAAGGCTTTAGTCTATAAATTATCAGGCTATGGAAAATATGGATGAAACAGGAAAAAATATTTATCTTTGAAGGATTACGTTGCGTGTGCTTCGAAAATATCTGTTCTAAGAATCATCTATAAATGACTAGAAAAATGTCTGCGACAAAATATGTCTATCTTTTAAGATTAACTCGTATAAACCGTTTGTAAATCAAATTTGGTTGAAATGCATTATTACCAATTATATTTATTTTGCAAACCCCAGCTCTTTAAAATAATTTACGACTACGGATGTATCATTTATTCGGGTTTACTAAACTAGAATATATATGTAAGCTGATATTGGTATTAACACACCTAAACGGCATGGTAGACAAGCTTTAGTCTACCATGCCGTTTATGTGTGAAAGACTTACAAACGTCCATCCCTTTGCACATACCTTTCTTTTAATAATACTAGTTATATTTTTAACAGTCAGGACGAATTAATTACGATATGTATATCTATAATTCTTTTGTAGCTACCTAGGATTCTACACTTACGTTTTGGACACAATCACTGCACCGGACGCGATAATACGCTACTTGTGCAACAACTACGCCATACACAAGATACCGATAGGAAATGAGCATACTTTCAATAACAGTGGGAAAGTTCCAGCAAACATTAGTTTTTATTTCACGGGTAAATTTCAATTTTTTTTAGGTTCTCGATGTAGCTCGGCCGAGAAAGATAAATGAAAATTTAAACTATGCTTGTATAACATGATATCTCTAACTTTTAAATAAATATAATTCTGATAAACATAATTTACAAATCGAAAATAAATTGAAAATTTTTTTGACTCGGGCAGGACTTGAACCGGCATCGTCAGCGCTCGTCCATGCTGTTGCTTTACCAATTATTATTATTATTTATTATTCTTTTCTTAAATAAAATGTTCTTTTTCAAATAAAGATTATATGACCGTACTTACAAGATTGGAAATCCTCAGAACCTTCTAATATATAATAGCTATATAAACATTTGTTTTTTGTACTTTTCAGAAAATCACAGATTCTCAGTACGTGTATCGGCCTATAGTGGAGCGAAGTCCAGTTCTATAACAGAAATCAAATCACCCAGACTTCTGGCCAACACAATCGATGTAGAACAAATTAACAATTATAAAAGCCAGTATGTATGTTATTTAGAAAGTAGAGAGACCTGAAAAATAAATTAAAATAATTCAGTCGGGCAAAGCAGAGATGGCTCGTCAGGTGTTATAACGGTAGACGAGGACAGACAAGCAGAGGATTCACTTGTTGAAATGTGAAACACCCATCCAAGTTTCCAAAGGCAATTTGCATTTTCATCTGTGAACGCTGATTCGTCACCCGGAAGGCATTTCGATATCCGTCATATCCATTTAATATCCAGGAGACTAAGTCCAAAACATTTCAGAAAACTTAAGAAACACGTTGGACCTGGGGGCATCCACAGCATGACCCGTTGATAATTAGCCATCTATCGCTTCCATTGACCAACGAGACGTTTATTGTAAAGGGTATACGAACGCACGCATATATCTTTCCCTTAAGTTAAGATCCTCTTACATTAATAAAATGAACTACACCTGTTTTACTATGGATACAATTTTCTTTATTTACACTTCATTAGAATGGTTTTACAGATTTTATAATGTATGTGTAACTAATTGACCACGAAACGCTTGACAATGCGAACGGTGACGATTTTTGCGACTGAGTAGTACGAATACAGGCGCGAACTAGTACTGAGCGAATTGAAAAATCGCGCTTCGCCCTTCGCGTCGCCGTCGATTGTGGCCAGGGGGTGTTCTGGTCGCTTATTTAATTGATGTGATTGTTTACCAGGTTAGCCAAATTTGAAAGAACGGCGCAGTCTCATAAAAGCAAAATGAAAGAAATGGATACCCAGCTTTCGCCACTAGAGGTCACTCTTAACAGTTATCATGTTGAGAGGAAAAAAATTAACGACGGCGTAGAAAAGGTATAGTGCAATTATTTTATAATTTTATATTAACGTTTAACTGAAATGTTATACAAAAAAACATGACTGAGTTAGTTGGTTGTTTGTTAATGCGTATAAGTGTGTAATTTTATATAGTTTGAATGAATCAATGTTTGTATTTGAGTATTGTCTGTAGTTTATGCGAGTAGTATCTAAATAAAACACATTTAACGAAATAAAACGCGAAATATATTCGATAACTTATTTTTAATTTATACAAATAATGGCCCAAAGTTTCGGATGCTTTGCAGCAGCCGTGGTCACGGGGGACCATGTAATATATTTTCCTTTTAAACCGTTAAGGTTTTGTTTAAATGTGTGTATTTGAATAATTTTAAATTTCTTCACTCTTACTATGTTTAAAGTGAGTCAGTATTATTAAATATAAATTTATGTAGCGAAACACTCTTTATTGTGTGTCCAAAGCATATAATTCATGCAAAGTACACGCTTATTGTAGGTACGAACCCTGAGCGCACAAATTCGGTTACAAACGAAAAAACTTGAGGACATCCAGAACGAGTCTACAATCAATATTGAGGTTGAAAAGCAAAAATGTGTAGCCAAGCAAAAGGACACAGTGTTAAAACAATGTCACATACACGGCCAATTAAAAGACATTATGAAGGAACTACAATCTGCGATGCTGAAAAAGGAATTGGCCTCAGTAAGTACTAAGCGTATATTTTAATTGTGAAAAACACTAGAATAAAGGTGATCGCAGATTTGTGTTTGTTTGATAGTTTCGGCTATAGAAATACTAGAATATCGTGATAATCTTCCTCAGTTCCAACGACGAACATAAATAACTTTTCTGATGTTTTCTTTAAATTGATTTTACATAGAAACTTAGTCAGGACTTATAAAACATATATCACGTTGACTCAGCTGACAGTTAACTCGATTTCAAGAAACCGTCATTTGCTCACAGTATGCGATGCTTTCGGTCATTAAAAAAATAGGGTTTTTAAAGATTTGAAATATTTATTTAAAACACGTTCTCAGAAATAGTCACTCAAAACAAATCCATAAGATATGAAGTGCTAATATCATTTTTTAAATTTTCATATTGAACATCTTCTTAACAGGTGAAATTGGATATAAGTAGAAAAGCGATTATACAAGATGAATCAAAATTAAGAGAGTTGAAAGGTGAATTACGAAACTCGGAGGTAAGCAAAGCTTATTTAGGATTTTATTAAACGTACTTGCCTTTGCAATTTCTGGAACTTGTTATCTCTTGGTATAATTTGCAAGTTGGTCTAATGATAGCAAAGTATGCTAATAATCGTTCCCACCACGAAACATGTTGGGCTTAGTCTGGCAATTTTGATTTGATAAATGGGTTATAGGGATATCCAAATCGGGGTCCACCACTGTTTCAGTTTGTAAATTTCCGAATAGGTTGACACTGTATTGCCCAACCAAGCTGTATAAATATTAACTAAATTAATATTATACTTAAATAAATATCTCATAAAATAACGTATTCCTCAATTTTGTCTTTGATAGGACAATATTACACAAACTTCGTCTGCGTAAGTACAGACACACGATTTCTCTATTCTATATTATATTATTAAACTTACAGACGACATTGGAAAACATACAGAAGAAATTAACCCGCGCAATATCAGATGCTAAAGAAAAGCTCATGGAGGCTAAGCGTTCTTGCAATAACAAACTACCCAACGACCCAGACTTTCCTTATACTAAAGATTTCGAGAAACTACCCTCAGATTTAAGCAGCCTTCAAGCACATTGCTGCGATCTACAGACGCGTATAGAATGTATGGACACCAATGATGTACAGGTAATCCTACAAAAAGTAATGCGAAATTTCTTGCCAAAAGCGTAGTATTATAGTAATAAGCTAAATTTTTTACTAAGTGAAACTAATTTATTTCTAATAACCTACAAGTCCTGGGTACGAAACCCGGTGAAACAATAGATTGCTTCGGTCGTATAGGGCACAGAAGTCTAATTAACTACTTGCAATTATAAGATCTGATCAGCGAAAAGGTCACAGAAATGTGTTTGCCCCGCGAGGGGAAATCGGATTTCACTTTTTCTATGATGGCGATAAAACAACAATTCCTCATAATGTGCAGGTACTTAAAGAATATGAAGCACGTGAAAAAACAATAGCTCAACTCAAACATGATGTGAAGAATTCATCAAATATCAACAAGCAATTAGAAGAGAAGATGAATGTACTCAAGTGAGTGGTATATTGCGTAAATACACAGACGTATATTTATATCTCAAACCTATATAGATAAGTAATGTAAATTTCACTTGGTTATGTGTTGTCATACTGCTTACTTTCGTTCTATGACCATCTCATTTTGATCAACAAATAGAACGGTAACAATTCCTCCCTCACCACCAGATCGATCTTTGGACTTCTTACAACTACCCACCATCCCTTATGTACATAGTATCGTTGCTTTATACATTATATACTATACTTTGTACATTAAGTGACGGTGTAGTTTTATTCTTATATACATATTTCTAGAATCTTTCAGATCAAAATGGCTGCCATCGTTAGAAGTGCTATTACGAAATATCGACAAAACATTCGGCGCTATGTTCGCGAAGTTGGGCTGCGCGGGCGAGATCAAATTAGACAAAACTGGTTCTGATGTAAGTCTACGAACATATTTCTACACAAGATTTCAATTAAATACTGTCTGTACTTTTTATTTAAACTTATTTTTAAGTCCGCAGTTTTGCATACTTTGTAGCAGCCGTGAATCCGGTAAGACTAAAGATGGATGGAGGATGTCTCTAATGTCTAAGTAAAAACTGCTACACTAACGCCATCTGTTTTAGCCAGTTATGCCAATTACCAACAACGATGTAGTTAAAAACAATTTGTAAACACGTTTAACTAATATATATAATAGCGTTTTGAACCGTGAAAGTGTTTTATTTAAATAAAGAAGGGGTAATTTGTTTGTTACACGCGATAGACTTAAAAATCTTTAAATGATGTCTTATTACAGGACGACTACGATAAATACGGTCTGGGTATCTACATTCGATTCCGTGAGCATGAACAGTTGCAGCAGTTAACACGACACGCGCAGAGCGGCGGAGAGAGAGCGCTGTGCACTGCGATATATTTGATGTCACTACAGGCATTAGCCACTGTGCCTTTTAGGTAAGATTCTTGGAAATATTAAGAAGTATTTATTTATTTTTTATGGAGGAGGACAGGCATGGAGTTTACTTGGTAGGTGAAATATCCCAACTATATAACATCTGATCTGATCTTTCAACCTTTGGAAATCCACGGACTGACACCGATACGCGATTAAACTTCACGGCTTTTACTTCTATGGACAGTGGTTCGTGACGCATACGGAAGTGCATATTTTCACCATCTATTTAATAATCAGCATTTTAGACGAATACCAACATGTTTAAAAAAATAAACTATTTAGAAGCATTTTGGAACCGAAGGGGATCGAACGCACGATTCCTCGATTATTAGCCATACATTATTTCCATAACACTAACGATCCTGTCGAACTATACCAACTACTATTGTTTAATTTATGTTACCAGATGCGTGGATGAGATAAATCAAGGAATGGATGCGATCAACGAGAGGAAAATGTTCCAATTACTGGTCAAAGTGACTACTGAATGTAGCAACGGGCAATACTTCCTTTTAACGCCAAAGGTGAAGAGCTTGACAATTGTAATGTTATTTGAGATCTTAAGCTGCAAAGAATAAGAAATTGAACCTTAATGCGCAAGTGTTAAGGTTGAAATTACATTACCAATAGGTTGCAATAATCGACGATGAAGTGTAGGATACATATTACATGTAAAGTTAATTTTAAATATTCTATAAGAATTTGTCTGTTGCAGTTATTAAGCCAGCTCGAATATGGGGAAAAAGTAATGGTTCACACCATAATGAATGGAAAGGAAATAATGAACTACAAGAAATGGAAATATCAGAAGCATTTGGAAAACGCGCGGAAATACACAATGGCACAATCAATGGATTATATGTGAATGTGAAATAGTGTATATTTAGGAATTGACTGTGATCTAATACTACGTGTAAAGTACCTATCATAAATGTATTGACTTAATCTATTTAAATGAAACACTTTAGACGGTTTGAAACACGAGATAAATTAGAGTAACTTTTTTTTAAACACAGCCGTGACTGTGGAAGTAACTTGTGTTTAAAACCGTTGAATGTGTTTCGCGTAAATAAGATACTACCGTTATATCTGTTAGACAAGAGTGACCGTGTCGATAACACTAAATAAATAATAAATTATTAAAATCCATTGATCTTGAAAAAGCTTGCCAATATTCTTTTCAAAAGAACGACGACATTTGGTTTCGGTTTTAACTATATGGTATTTGTAATCTTTTGATTGTAGTTCCGACAAAAATGTCGGAACTACAATCAAACCACCATATAAAAATATCTAGCATGATTATTTGATTGAGTGAATTGTATTATGATAATTTAGGATTTTTAATTTTTATACAGTTTTATACAATTTTAATGTACTAATTATATAAATTCGATCCTGTTTTCCTATTGTAACTATTCTATAAGTGTATAGAAAAGTTTGAGTGATATGAACATTTATTTTCTGTCTGACTGCATGTCAATAAAAAAACAATGGTTTGATTCGCGAAATGTATTCTTATTTTTATATTTTTGTAATTATGACCCGACGACGCAAGATATTAGTCATTAGCAGCTGTTTAATGAACTCTATTCATCATTTGGGATAAAATATCTTCATAATAATCTAATGCAATGAATAAAATTTTAAGTCTGGCGTAAGCTAGTAATCAATAAAGTTTAATTTATCTACTATCTCGTTTCGTTTGTGCCCTGTACGACCGAAAAATTAAAAAAAAGGTCGGGTCTGAACTTTATTTCTACAGCTTTTTTAGTTTCAGGGTATACAACATTACCTACTACAAAACCTAACAATGAAACAAACATTTGTGACTGTCTCACTACCTCTTTGGACATATTAGTATTTTACTTGATCTTGCTCGTTGGAAAAACATGGTTTCTCGAACAAAGTTTTTCATTTCAACATTAACCATACCTGTTGTGTATTTTAAGTTATATTATATATTATATTAAATAAAGAAATATATTTTTCGCAAACAGGTGTTTTTCGGATTCAATAAAAAAAGACTTTGTATAAAAAAAGTATTAATTGCAAAATATTTGTAGTGATAGTATTAAATACAAAAGCAGTTTTTATATTACCAATAATTGGTGTAGTGTTTTAAATGATTAATATTAAAAAATAACTTATATTAAATGATTTTTTAATTCATTTTTATATCTGTTCAAAACATTGGAATGACAATATTAAAAAATGCAAAGTGCTTCAAAGCTATTCGTTGAAAAAACTGATTTAAAATATTTATATTATTCAAAGAATACATGACTATTGAACAAGTGTTTTTGTTCAAAAAAATCAGTGAAATAAGTCAGAAAAGGCTACTTCACCATATCATTTATCCTGCGTTCATTAAATATACAATAACATACTTTTATTCTGTATAAACTATTGCTTTGCGGCCATTACTGGGTTTTCGTGCTGTTCTGTCTGAGTTAAAATTCTTCTTAATTAAAATAAAAAATATAATACATTTTTTATTCCCTTGAAAATTTCAAAAACATATTTAGACTCTTTTAAATAAAACACTTTAACGGTTTAAAACGCGATATATTAGTTAAACTTATTTGAAAATGATTTTTAACTTCGGCCCGACGTTTTTTTGGGGGTTTTTGGGGGGGGCGGGGGTCTTCGGAAGCTGCTGGGGGGGGGGGGGGGGGGGGGAGGCGGCCGCAAACCAAAAAACCACGGCCGCTGCAAACCCACACAGGGGGGGGGGGGGGGGGGGGGGGTGTCCGAAACGCACGGGTGGGGGAAAGGATCCGAAACGTCGGGCCGATCGGGCCGAAGTTAGAAAAATCATTTTCAAATAAGTTTAACTAATTATATCGGCGTTTTAAACCGTTAAAGTGTTTTATTTAAATGTGTACTACTCGCGTAAACTATAGACAGTATATATTTAGACTCGTCAACATTTTTTTGACTTTTCTGTCTGTCGTGATTCTACACAGTGTTCCAAAGAGCAACATGACCGAGAAGAACACTGAAGAACTCGGTCCGAGTTTTTTTTAACATGTCTTATGCACTAATTATTTATAATTTGATGGCTTTCCCATTCTAAATAGATTCAGCCAATGTGTCTAGTGTAGAAGTCATTCTTGTCGTTTCGCAGTAAAATATATTGTCATGTCATGTATCGCAGTAAATATGTTATTTGTTGTTATAATAACGACGACGGAACAGTTTGAACACCCAAAAACTTCCATTAATATAAGCTCTAGTGTAAAATATAAGATTAAGTACTAGAAATTACTTAAATCAATGTTCTAATTGAATCCCTTTCCCAGTCCACTGTTCATCCAACTTAACGTTACATTCTAGATCCCGTAAAGCCGATTTTATATCGAAGCCAAAGTCTTTTGAGAACAATTCATATGACCTGTTAAGTATAGATTCGATTCCGAGTTCGTGAAACTTTGTGTTTAGGTCGCGACGACGCGCCACGATGTTTCGTATCGCCCAGCAGCCGTTTTTCTGTAAGAAAAATATAAATTTAGCAAGAATATAGAAAGTAATGGTGGACATTGAAAGAAAATATATTAAGAGGTAAAAGGCCATAAGGGTCGAAAGATGCAATAAAAAAGTTAAATGTGCTTGTGTGTTCTGTGACAAAATGTTGATACAAAACAGGGTCAGCAATAGATTCACGTATGAGGTTTAAATAAAACTGTTAACGGTTTAAAACGCGAAGTGTATTAGTTAAACTTATATGTGACTTATTCAACTTGTCAGTGACGTTTCAGATTCTTTGCAATAGACGCAGTCACTGGGGGAAATCATAACATAAGTTTAGTGAATATTTTTCGGATTTAAAAACCTTACAAGTGTTTAATGTTATTGTGTACTACACGCGTAAACTACAGACAACACTTTCGTAAAATGGTTGACATTTCTTATCAAGACTGAAAACATCCATTTACCTGCACTTGAGGGTTTTCCTGGTGAACTTTGAGGCATTCCACTATGGCCTCAGCTGCGCCGGATTCGATAAATTGCACACTGTGTTCCGGTTCACGTAGCGCAAGCGCTGCTATGCATTTCAGCGTCAATGCTACAGACGTAGGGTTACTCTGTGAGAAAAGTGTTATAATTTAATCTTAAGTTAACGTATTAAATTTTTCTAAATATATGTGATAAGCACAAGAATCTGACTACTTACGGAGTGTCTAGTAAGAACTGAAACTATAATGGGAATTATTCCACTTTTCACTAACTGCCTCTTGACATCGTCATTACCGGCTAGAGCTGTTATTCTGGAAAGTTAAAACTTTTTTATCAGTTATCTATGTTAATTTCTGTATATGCTAGACCTTATATGTTGGTTAAACATGCTATACAACATCAATAAGACTCGAAACAACCCTAGCAACAGAATTGTATCAATAAATATTAGAGAGTCACCTTGGAAACATCTTTTTGGACCTTTTTGGTCTAACAAGATGTCGATTCCCCACAACGGCGATTACTTATCTTTCGGCGACAGAAATGTTGGTCTCACAACAGTCAACAACTGGTTGAAACACAACAGTGAAGTGCTAAAAGGAGACATAATCGGTATCACCGACGACAACACGTCTGTTACCAAAAACTGCATTGTCAAGGTAAACCAAACTTCTTGCAACGATTTTAGCGACAGCACAGACCAGTTAAAACATAGAGCCAGACATGTGAACTACTGGAGATCCGAACTCGAGAGAGCCATAAAGGATATCGACGCTGAAATCATAGTTCTCGAAGCTTTAAGACAACAATTGAAAAACGCTATGGACACCCTTAAGATACCGGAATATATCACGGAAGAGTGTCTAGATTTGAGACGTTATAGAATGCAATCGGATACCGTTTACGACGAACCGCAAGACGCTCTGTTCAAAGAATCCGTTTTAATACAAAACGTTAAAAGACTGCACCAAGACATGCTAAGAGACATTGAAAGTCAGATGAGGACGAACGTGGCAGCGAAAGACTCTCTAGAATGCGATTGGAGTGATAAATACCTGGCTTTTAATTACGAAAGACACAATTCTAACTTAGCTACCAAATCCGTTAATGTCAAAGACTCAGCGGGTGCAACTAGATTATCAGACGGCCAATCCGACGTACAACTGTGGGAACGACACACGATCAATGCACTGAGACAGTTCAAAAGCGCGATAGATAAAAGCAAAGAGCTGCGGGAAAAGGTAGATGCAGCCCTAATTAACTCCGCTAGGGATTTGAGGACTAATGACATTGCTGTAAATAAGGCGTTAAGCGAAAGAATCGCGCGCACGGACCAAGTAAGAATTGAATTGGAGAATCAACTGAAACTGACGCTGGAGAAGATAGTTGAGACGGAGAACATTTTGGAAACGCTGCATGAGGAAATGTTGAAGGTAACGCAGCGGATTCAGGTGGCTCAAACGCGGTTAAATGTCAAGAATTGTAGGCCAAACGTTGAGAATTGTCGGGAAGGTTCATTGATAGCATTAATAGAGGAAATACGAGATCTAAATAACAGTATGAGTCTGTTGCAACAGAGACGTCTGGAGACAGAAAAATTACGAGCGAAACTAATACACGAAAGATCGTTACTGGAGAACGAGATCGTTGTTAAAAAGAAGACATTGTATATCGATGATAAGAGATGCTTGTACTTGAGATCGCATTTTCAATCTGCTGAAAAACTTTGCGGGTTCTAAGAATCGTTTTAACCTTTATTCATATTGTCGAAGAATTTGCACGTATCTCTTATGAAACATAGATAAGTACTAAAGTTATATATATACTTTTTTCAGTCTTAAACGATCATATATATAAATTCATTTATCTTAAAGAATCATATATAAACATAGATATAATAGGTACTTACAATTTATTAGCTTGCTGTATAACTGCAACATTATCGAAATTGTCAGCTAGAACAATAAATAGTATATTGTTGCCAGATTCAGCGACCTTAGCGCACAGTTCGTGTCTAACTAATAGTGTTGCCATCGTCAACATAATTTCTGATGCTAATGGTGGTTTTGTGTTTTCTACAAATAAAAGTTTTAAAATTATTGTTTAGATTATTATTATTTAATTACCCACTATAGTTTAAGAAAATGCAGAAAAAATTCATATTTGTTATATAAAGTTTTGTTAATATGTAATAATTTTATTAATAAGTTTTTCGACTTTCCTTTGTTTGGGGACTTACCCTTTACTGTTAATGTTTTAGAACTATTTTAATGTACACTAACACAGCAAGTGTTAAAACAGTTTTAAAACATTAACGGTTGAATATATCAACAATATACACCTTTAAGTAAATGTGACAATTGTTCCAATAGGTAAATGCCCAATTCTCTTGCATGTTCATGTGCTTTGCCAAATTCCATACGAATGTCATCATCTAAAGTTAAACGACGAATTACTTGTAATGTCTCACTCAAAAGCTGAAAAAAATATCTTTTATTCATATCAACTAGCAACATTGCCTTGTTTTCTTTGCTATGAAAAAAACTTTTTATTGCAATTCATAGAATAATAAAACATTTTTTTCATTTCACATTTAAAATTTTATAAGCTAGAGAACTTACCCTTGTATTGCCTTTTACTTTCAAAAGAATTTTTAAATTGTCAACAATATTCAGTGCAAATACTTTCTGTCGGTTCATTTCATGTTTAACACAACAAACATTTATCCATTTTAGAGTAGCTAACATCACTTCATCATTTTGAACATTTTCCAATAGGCTGTAATATAATGGTAAATAAAACTCGATTTTAGATCCAAAAGTTTGTCCCTTTTTTTATAAAAATTTAAAAAATAATACCTCTTCATAAGTTCTAATCCTTTATAATCTAGCAAGTCAGGTTGAACATCCATCAAAGCAGCTAAACTGTACAATACTTTTGTAATAAGCAAATGATCTTTACAATTCTCAATGTATACTTTATAGTTTGTCTCCAAAAGTTCTATTAAAATGTTATAAGCACCATCTTTGCCTGCACGAACTCTGTGAGCTATATCCTTCTTGCATTCCGTCTGAAAGTTAATATTATTTTTTATTAGTTAAATTTGAAAATAAAGTTAGCATGGCATAAGTTTGGGGGTTTTCCTTATGTGAGGAGTTAGAATGTTTACTGTGATTCGTAAGGAAACCTTTCCATCTTCCTTACAAATCTGATGATAGGCCAGAACTGTTAGATAGATACAGACAAATAGATATAAGGTGACTTAAAATTAAAAATCTATTAAAATTGAAAAAAAAAATATAACACAGGTGGGACTTGAACTGGTATCCCAAGCAATCCATGCTGCTGCATTAACCAATTAAGTATTTAAAGTTACTTACTATTAAAACATCCAAGTCTTTAAGTATTTCTTCACTGTCAGATTTATCACTATTTCTTAACTTGGCTACTGTAGAGCTCACTAGATGGTTATCACCGGAGCCTAAAGCTAGATCCTTTATGATGTTTGATAAGTCCACACCCTAAAAGTAGAATATTTTGTATATTTGTTTGTACTTATGCTGTGGACGATAAATGCCGTAAGATTGTATGGAAAATACAAGCTCCTGTTTCTATATATGGTCATATATACCTGTGCTTCAAATTGGGCAATAGCCTCTTTTATAGCTTCTTCTGGGTCCATATCAAACTCATCAATATTCTCGCGTACGACATCGTCGTAGGTCTCCTGGCTTATGATACGAACCATTTTACTAAATATCTACACTGTATACTAGAATTTTAATTCACAATTACGAAAAATTCGCTAAAATTTTACTATTTTATTACCAGCCGGATTCGATTAGATCCAATTAATTCATTTGTTTTGATTTCGATTTCAACACTCAAGTTTTAAGTCACTGTCAATCTTATTAAACGACATGGATAGTAATCAGCTGAGCCCCTAAACTTAAAACAAGTTTTGCTTTTATAGTTTACTAATGTATTAAAACTTTACTAGAAACAAAATTAATCTTTATTTAGGGAAGTAGTTGTTTTATTTATATTAGAAGTGTTAATAACAATATTATTATTAAACAATTTTAATGAACATTGTCATAATTTTCGTACTCTACATAATCTGTGTTATTTCATTTCCGATAATGGATGACGCATCTGTACACAAAAGTGAATAAATGTTGTGAGCAATTTCGCATTTCAACACGCAATTTCTGTATTCATATTATTACAACGCTACTATTGCAATCAAATTATTAAGGCAGAAACAAAATGAGTTTTTTGGGTAAGCTCTTTGGGGGCAAAAAGGAGGAAAAGGGGCCAACAACACATGAAGCAATACAAAAGTTACGTGAAACTGAGGAGCTCTTAATCAAGAAATCGGAGTTTCTAGAAAAGAAAGTCGAGACTGAAATACAGATAGCTAGGAAAAATGGATCTAAAAACAAGAGAGGTAATTATGGCGAAGTATTTTTATGGTCTATGAAGGTTACAAGTTCTCTTTATAACTACCTACTATATAGCCTGCTATTGTTGACGTATTTAATAACTGTTACTGTATAAGGAAAAGTTCTTAGAATCCTGGATCGCCGAGCCCAAATCTGTTAATATCTCTATATTGGATTACTTTATGTTATATTATTGTTGCCAATTTATGACTCATAATTACAGTTCAACAATTAAAAACAGTATTTATTATCTATTGTGACATTATTCAATCTATGCTCTATGTTACTTTGCCTTTATAAATTGTCCTATTACTATATTTAAAGGATGTAAACATCCTGTGAACAGATCCCTGAATAGATTTCAAAGCAATTATTAAATTTTCAGATAACTAATGCAATTTGTATGGTCTATAAATATGTAAATAAAACACTTTAACGCTTTAAAACGCGATAAACGCACGTCTCCCCGTGACCACGGCTGCTGCAAAGCATCCGAAACGTCGGGCCGAAGTTTAAAATCATTTTCAAATAAGTTTAACTAATATATCGCGTTTTAAACCGTTAAAGTGTTTTATTTAAATGTGTACTACTCGCGTAAACTATAGACAGTATCTGGTCTATAAATATATAAATTCTTTTGCAATTTATTCAATTTCTTTACAAACCCTTTCTAGCTGCTATTGCTGCATTAAAGAGAAAGAAGCGTTACGAGAAACAATTAACACAAATTGATGGTACTCTTACCCAAATTGAGGCTCAAAGGGAGGCCTTGGAAGGTGCTACCACAAATGCTCAAGTCCTGAATACTATGAAAGATGCTGCTAATGCTATGAAACTAGCACACAAAGACATGTTAGTACATTTTTATAATAAAGTACTACTTATATATATTTTACCACAAGATTTGGCTTGAAGGTTTGAACATTGGTCAATTTCTGTTTCTCTATACCTGTAAGGTATGTAATGTTGTTTGGTGCATTGAAATCAAAACGTCTAATGTGCACCATTGGCTAATTAGCAGGAAACTTAGGTCCTGACTCTTTTTATTGGGTCTAAAACCTGAGGTAGAGGTATTTTGGTAATTTTCATGAAATAAATTTGGTAAATATTATGAAATGTTAAAAATTTAATTTATTGCACAAGATAAATGGTTTATGACATTTTGAAACTATAGTATTGTTTTTTTTAATGTTCAAAAATCTTTATTTCCACAATTTAATAAAAGAATGCAACTCAAGATTGACAACAAAATCTATTACACATTTTTTTTAAATTTCATTAGTCTACAACTTTAAATCATTTCAGTAAAATATGTTAAACAGTTAATATTTTTAAACTCGACATATATTAGTTAAATTTATATTTGATTTAACTACTACTTCATGTTTCCAATACTTTGCAGCAGTGTTGGTCACAGGGTGTTTTCACCTCTGCAACTGTTTTACTTTTATTTATACTTCTCATGTAAACTAGAGACAATATTCAGTTTTATCATATATTTCCAGTGATGTCGACAAGGTTCATGATATTATGGATGATATTGCTGAACAACATGATATATCTCGAGAGATCACAGAAGCCATTAGTCAAAATGTGGCCTTCCCCAATGATGTTGATGAGGACGAATTGGAGAGGGAATTGGAGGAATTGGAACAGGTACACTTTTTAAATACCTACCTGGCTTTGAAGCTGAATTTTAATACTACAATAGAGAATAACAATAAAATTACTTACAGTTTAAAAACTTTTTACTTAAATTTATTAATAACCTATTAAATTTTGATATATTTGCAGGAGGAGCTAGACAAAGAAATGATGGGTATCAATGTACCATCTGACAATTTGCCGGATGTACCTACCTCAGAACTGGCCACCGATAAACCCAAGCCAAGCAAGTCTAAGGAGAGTGGTGAGTATTTCTGTTACTTATGATAAAGGCATAGGATCCATCTGTTTACAATAATTCATTTTTAATGTTTATATGTATGGACCCTTCTGTGGCCCAGATTAGGATGCATTACATTATCATATTAACTGGACATAAATGATGTGAAACATTTTGTTTTGTCTTTAACTGCTTTATTTTGTTAAATTTTTACATTCAATTAGTGTAAGAATTTAATGGCTCTAATAATGTTAGAGCCAACTTGTAGAAAATCGTATGAAAAATTGTTATACTCAATAATTTTGTTTCAGAGGACGACAAAGAATTCGCAATGCTTCAATCCTGGGCGACATAGACTACAAATATAAGTGCTATATATAATGCTTGTGATAATCATATACATTTGTCATAGCAATACAGCTTCAATATCTCACTATGTATAAATGGGTTTTGCGTGAATATACATATATAATACATAACATAATATTGTCTCATGAGCTGTTAAGGTGTTAGAGCATTTGTAGGAGTGTCCTTACTATATGGGTTAGACTAGGTAGAACAAGTGTTTTCCCTGGCCAAAAACTACAAATATCACTAGGGCTGGGTTGATTGAGTATGTTAAAATGAAACCACATTAATGTATTTATAGGCGACATATTAGTTCTGTTCCATTCTATTACACTACTACAGATGCCAACACGTTGCCATGCTCACTGTAGCACATGTGAAATAGAAATCAACATACCCAAATAAAATGTAGAAGATACATATGTTTAATATCTATGTATATTTATTCAATTAATTAGGGTTGTACAATATTGTTTCTTCTTGTAAGTTATTAATAAATTCTTTTCTTTTTTCCTCTGATTTTTTAATACTACTTTTGATATAACTGTAATTTTTAGCAATATTTTAGTTCTCAGTTCGAATTTAATCGCTAATACTACTTATATTGAGTTACGAAAAGTGTACTTTAATGCTTTTGATGAAGTAAAATAATATAATTTTGTGATGTATCAAACTTAGTCTATCTTTGTTGCACCATAGAATCTGTCTCTTTCAACCTGTCCTTACATAATTTTGAATTTATGTTGTACTCTATTGGTAATATTGCTTATATATTGGCCTCTTATGAACGAATATTAAATTGTTTAGTATAAATATTGATGGCATATAGTAGGACGGGTCTTATATTTTTGAAGAGGGATTTTTAAAATATTTGCTATTTGCAACGTTAAAGAAGCATAAGAAAATGAATGCGTCTAGTTTTAAAATTAAAATTAATCTTGTAAAATGCCTTAATCAAAATGTGTATGCAGGAGACAGGGATCTTGTCATGTACCTTTCGTGCAGTTACCTTCTTTAAGATATGCTTTGTAGAATAAGACTAGCTGAGGTTCTGGAGATCAGACCGAAGAGTCCATTTTTTATTTATTTATACATCTTGACAAAATTATTACTGTTAACCTATTTGGGCTTGAGATAATCAGAAATCCAGACTAAAACTTAAACACGATCTAACTTCACGGCTTTTTCAACTGCGGATAGTGGTTCGTAACCCGGGTGGTTTACCAATATTTCTACCACCATTAGCCATGCATTGCTATGCACTAACTATTGCACCAACGAACCCTTTGGCTTCTCTATAGTCAAGTAAAGGTACAAATCTCCTTGATCGTAACTCAGACGACAAGATCCGTGTCCTGTATAATTTTTAAACTTAAAAGATATTAGATAAATAACGATGTTCTTTGTCATTATAAAGCACTTAACTGCCTGAGTTTTCTTAAGGTGAAGTAACTGTATTATTCAAATAAGCTATTTTAAAAGTATGTTGTTTATTTACTAATATTGTTTTATAAGCTGTATTATCTGTTCAATAATATATTTTAGTTTAAAAAACGTACTTGATCGAGTTAAATAGTCAATAAAGGTACGACTGTCGAAGTTTACTCACTAAAACCAAAGCTGTTTAAAATTTTATTTTATTGACTGTTTAGTGAAATAGTGGTGTTTTATTGAGTCATTTTTTTTCCTCTTTAGAATAACAAAAACCCTTTAGCAGTCTCCCAGTGACCACGGCTGCTGCAAAGCATCCGAAACGTCGGGCCGAAGTTAAAAATCATTTTCAAATAAGGTTAACTAATATATCGTATTTTAAACCGTTAAAATGTTTTAGTATTTACCAAAAATAGAAGAAAAGAAACAGGCTTTATATGAGGCCGCGTAGCCTAACTGCTATTTTTATGACTTGAGTTATTTTCATAGTTTGAAAATGTAAATCTACAAGAGACTAGTGACCAAGAGTGAATTTATACACAAATAATTGTACAAATTAATTTGCGCATTTTTACTTTCCTCCTAATAATTGATAATTATATTTTTGTTATTAGGCCACTCTGCCTCTAGCAGCTTACGATAATTAAGTTCCTACAGAGAGTTTTAATAAAATTACCAATTAATACATATTCAAAGATTTGCTCTACTCGCTTTGGTCTATAGCAGACTTTAAATGTATATGTGTAGTTCATGATTTCCTTGTTAATCATTATACTACGTAATTGTTAGAGAAATCATGTGCATACGTATATTTTAATTATGATTTCATGTTTGATTTTATCGAGAAGGATACTTTAATTTTTCAATATCATTAGTAGATTTAGGGCAAGATAAAGCTGCATACAAATTAGTATCTTAACTTGTTGATTAACGGGTTAGCTAAAATCACGAGTTCGCATACTACCTAAATCTCTTAGTACACCAATTTAGGTATATAGATGATTTTCTCGTTCTAATTTAGCTTTTCTTGGAGTAGAACAGAACTAACAAGCCCAAACAGATTGGCTCAACTTTTCGGTTAGTTACAAAAATGTTACATCTACCACGGCAAAAACTTTACTGTTACTTTTAGGTATATAGGTATTATTTTAAATTTGGCTTTTAAAAAAGCTGAATGCCTTAATTCAAAGAAAAGGACAATAAAGAGTGAATCCTTGTTACCATAAGTTGCTTATCTTTCAAGCATTTGAAGGAAACCAAAATCGCTCGTTTGGTCCCAATTATTTCTCGCAAGAACATCCAATAACATGATGAAGTCGATTACTTAATAGCCATCCGTGTGTTAATTTACATCATTATGCAATTGTGTAAAATAAGTGCAAAGTGTTATACAAATTTAAACCCTACTGAAAGGAGTTAAGATACAGCATTTATCTCGTAACGATTTGAGTAAAATTTTAATAAGTTTAATCATTAGGATGCGAAAAACGGAGCTAGCCTTGCGAGTTGAATTCTGATTTAGACTTTCCCTTGGGGTCTTATTCTGGCTGATTTAAAATTCGCAATAAGTCACTAGACTTATTACGAATTCCTAAAAACTACAAGAAGTTCAAACGGACAACAACCATTCTCGCATAACGAACATTAATTATATGTTAAAGAACAATTTGCAGGTATTAATTTTAATTATAATTGAATAACGCCGCTTCATCTTCGTGCCGATAACGAAAATATATCGCATCACACCAGAATACCGCTGCATCAAAATAATAGAAGCCTAGTTTATATGAAGGGAGGATGATTTAGCGCGGACCAGTGTAGTACGTAGCTTATTGGATATCACACACCATGAGGGCTTTTATTTTTGTAAGTATATATGTGCTAAGTAATGTTAGTTTTTTTTTAATATAGAAGAGGACAGATAAGGTGAAACACCCCAGCCATATAACATCTATACAAGATGCGCGGTTGACCTATTGTGGTTCGGCTTCGCTAATACACAGTTTGAAACCGAAACGCGCTTAAATTTTACGGCTCTTTAATCTGTGGATTGTGTTTCGCGATCCGAACGAAAGTTCGGTATTCCTACCGCCCATTTTATATCCGTTTTTCAGATAAGTAGTTAAAGTTTTATGATAATGATTATAACGCTTTTCATCACTGGGAGGGATACTCTTTATACATTAACTCCATTATTACTTAGTTAAACATTACCTGGCGACAATTTTTTGGTCAGTTGGTAAAACTCAAGTATGTATAACTGATCTTTATTTTAGATAACTATTCTGGTAGTCCACTCAGCAACAGCCCATTTGCAGTTAGAAAAAGTAGCGGAAAAGGTTGTGGAGAAAGTGCAATCCGGACTCAAGCACTTGAAGGAAAAAGCTGCGTCGCAGCTCCACAAATTGACGGCTGATTTCGACTTACAGAAATTCCACAAACATCTACCGCAACCGTACGCCAAGCATTATGTTAAGGAACACTATACAAGGAAGACACCGTTCGTTATCGATCCGTACCAAATCGAACGTTTGAAGCATTACTTTGAACCACACCACAAACCTGTACCGTATCACATACCCCACTATAAGCCTTAGAATTAGCCCATTAAGATTATCTAAGTTTAGAATGTTTAGTATAGCACGATCATTTATAAACTCATATGTATTTCACTTTAAATATCTTAGGAGGATGTAATTGTTAACTTCTGTAAAAAACTCTAGATAAACACATATTTGGAATTTTTAGATAACGTTTCGATTCGAACATTCTTCTTAAAATAGCTTTAGATATTATATTAAAAATTAATTTTAGATAGATAACAGTGGCACATCTGGGACTTGAACCCGTGCTGCTGATCTATCTAAAACTACCGTCTCTCATTTAGTTCTCATTTATACATGCGTCTCTCGTGGGATTGGGAAACGATTGGGATTTGGTAGCTCAATTGTTGTGTGACGACTGTATCTGCATCGAATTTAGATGTAAAATAGATTTTAATTAATAACGATTCAAATTATTTACTTTAAGAAATAATTGTACCACAACACATTATTACCACATTAAGTATTGTCTCAGACATCATTGTCACAATGTAAATTAATTATTTTTAAGCTGTGATTCTAAAAAGGTTATATGCGTGATAAAATGTTGTTTATGTAACACATTATTGTAAGTACAAAAGATAGAAGTGATTCCAATTACGTGATTATTTTATTTACACCCTAACCTTATTTTACTTTTATTGTTGTAATTTCTTTGTTAAATAAGATTGTAGGATCTTATTGTTCTAGGTAATTCGTATAGCAATAATTCAAATACTAAATGGTAATATTATTATTTATTGTAGACATATACAAAACTCTATCATAATCAAAATTATACCATCTCACTGAATGTTTAAATCATTCAGTAATTTGTCAAAAACATCATCGGTATTGTTAGAGCCATTTTGAAATTCACCGAAGTCGTCATTCGTGTCTACTAAGCCTAGTTCTGTCAAAAGCGACAGACTGTCACTGTCATTTCTGCCATTATCTGTACCAAGTTTTAAATCGGCCAAGTTTGGAAGTAATTGTTCTGTCAAGTCACTGTTGTTGTCGTTGTTTTGCCGTCTATTCATTGGTTTACTTTTCGTTTCATCATCGGTTAAGTCATGGTATTCTTTTAATTCTTTTCCGAATTCTATTTCTTCATCATCTTCTTGGCTGTCCTGAAAATTTCAAAGAAATTTAGATAACTTAATAAATTAATGATAAACAGCCTTTTACGAATAGACGTTTAAATGAAATACTTTTTGACGGGATGAAACGCCAGAAGGCGATACTGTAGAAGATTTGACTTCCACATTAGGGACAACCCGACTTCAGTTCCTCCGTGGCCACGGCTGCTACAGAGCACCCGAAATCTCGATCCGTATTTTAAATAATTTGTAAATAAGTGTCCTAATACGTTTTTTTGTAAACCATTAAAAGTCTTATTTAACACATTTGCCATAGTGATGATTTTTTGTGATTGAGTTTTGCATGGATTGGTCCAAATGTTTGCGTGTTTGCGGCAAGGCCCCCTTGGCCTGCCGGGCCATCTGCCTTGGCTTGGACCAGCGTAATATGGGTGAGAGCTTGAGAAGCTGGTAGAATGCTCACTACGTCTGATTGGAATTGCGAAACAAGGGATCTTGCCTTATGACGCAATGACGTCGGCGACCCGCGCCAATAATGAATTCAAATGAGATTCTTTTAAAGTAACGACTGAAGGTTGGCAATTTGAGATCGGCGTCCAGATTGGCATAACGCATGTACCAGATTGGTCCTTCTGATTCTTCAGCATCTGGAGTCTTTAGGGGGCAGTGTTGGTGAATGCGACGCTGGACTAGGTAAGAATTAGATCGCTTGCTATTCGATGATAGATGTCGCTTTGCAAAATGTATATTTGTCACCATCGATAAGGTAGCTTCGAATTTTTATAGCAATTGTCAATATACTAAGTCCTAACCTCGCTTTGAGTTAATAAATTTTATAATAACTGTGGACCACGGCTGCTGCAAAGCATCCGAAACGTCGGGCCGGAGTTAAAAATAAATAGTTTATATATAACCGTTTTAAACCGTTAAAGTGTTCCTTTCGTGACCACGCGCGTGCTACAGAAGTATTTGTCATAACCGATAAAACTGTTGTTCTGGGCCGTCCGCTTTGGGCAAGTTCTCAAATTTTGCTGTAATAGATTAATCTTTAACGTTACGTTAATTTCACGTTGAATTCTTATTCGAGACACTTTAGATTTAAAAATGTATAGCACTTTTTAATTTTTTTTTTCTTAGTGAAAGGAGCTATTTAAACGACGTCAATAACTACTTCAACGCTTCCTCGGGGTTTAGTTACAATAAACACTTTAATTTCATATTACGATTATGTTATACGTACTTGAATAAGTTGTGTTGTTGATTTATACTGAAAGGCATTTTGTGAAAGATCTACTTCAACCGGAAATAGAGTCGCATTTTCTTTTAATTGTTCAACGGTTTCACTGAAAGTAAAATATATAGAATAGTATAAATAAACACAGGTATGTACATAATTTATCTTGTGAACACACTTATATATGTACAAAGACAGGGACTAGACCCGATGTATTTAGATATACGTATCTAACATATAACACTTTATTATACAGTTACTTAAGCTAAGTTGTACTAACTTAATATTTAACTTACTTGTGGTAAACAGCCAAGCCTTGTATAAACCGTTTCAACTGATAGGCGACGTCTTGGGTCTTTTTATTCTCCAAAAGTTCCAATTTCACCAAAACATCCGAACGCAAGCGCGCAAATCTCGTTCTCGCATCCTGACGACAGCGAAGAATCAACCTGGTCGAGTTAGATGGTTAATGTAGTTGTTTTACCGTATAATATAAAAAAAATTGCTTTCACGCACCTATATTCATAATTCCCAGTCTCTACTCTGTACAGGGGTTCTTGTAAGGCGTTATACCCATATTCTTCATCGTCCATTTCCTTAACCTTCAAGCAGTAGGATAGGTACTCAAATTTCGTGTCTGCATACTTCCTTATAGTTAGTTTCGTGTCTGGAATAGCTTTGTGTAAGTATGTACCCATATCTGCTAGTATCTGTTGGATTTGTTAATACAGTGATTAGAGGAACTGATGACTGATGTATAAGCAGAATAAACGGTTTTTTTAATGCTAGATCGGACAGTAAAGCATAGGGGTCACTTGTTCATAGGTGATATACCCCAGCCTATAGCATCTAAACAAGATGCCATGACCAAAATAGGTCATCCAAATAGGTCAGTCTTTGGATATTCGGAAATCCACAGACTGAAACCAAAACGCGATTAAGCTACAAGGCTTTTTCACCTGTGGACGGTGGTTAGTGACCTAGGTGGATTTTCTAACGGGGCCAAAGAGGTCGTAAAATTTTCGTTATTGTTTTTAAAAAAATAAACTACCGTACCGTACGTATTTTTAACGGTGAATAATAAATTTTAACAAATATCAACATCATTTGTGATCTTCAGACAGACGATATATTTTATGTCGGTGACCTAATTCCGATAATTTACTTTTAAAAAGTTACCGGTTTCAAAGTCTTGAGCATCTTGATGCCATCTCTTTCTAATAGTCTGTGGTACTGGCCAAATTTTGAAAATGCTTCCGAAGCTCTTGCTTGGGGCTCTCTCACACCGATTCCAGCGAAGATATCACCCAGAGATTTAAACGTTTGCAGTAAATCAAAGTAAGACTTCAACATTCTGTAAAGTTAATCATCAACACTATAATATTTTGCACATGATAGAACTGTACAAATTTGAAATCGATAATAAATTTAAAAAAAAATACGACTCGGGCAGGCATATTTACTGGCATCTACAGCGTTGTGTGCTGTCGGTCTAAGCAATTGAGCTACCGAGTAACGAGTTGTTAGATTTTAAGTTACGTTTCGTTGAGTAGGGTAATTTATATAAAATACGTAGTTTTTTGTCTCTAAGGCAATACTAGAAATTGAAAAATCTTTGATACTGGTAGTTTTGACCCGCGACAATTGTAACTCTAAATTCTCAACATTTATTTATTTATTTATTTAGCAAAAGGAAACAAACAGATACATTACATAAGTGGCTAGGGAATAACAATAAAAAATAAATAAGGTTAAAATGCACCCTTAACAGTTTCACAAATAGTTAATTGTTATATGCAATATGAAAAGAACAAAACGTCGAAAAAATTACAGGAAATTAGACAAAATTTTAATAAGAGTTGACAAACAAATAAAATTAATTATACGTTGAACTAAAAACTAACCGAAAAAAAAAACATAATTAAATTGAAATACCTAAGGCGAAATAAGCAATCTTTTTAATGTTTTTTTTGAATGAAGCAGTAGAGGAGTGCAAAAACAAATCGATATCGGCAAAATGATCAAGGGAAGAACACATTCTGTGGAGTGGCGTGCGGAACCCGATATTGGTTCTAGGAGTAGGAAGGTTGAATGTTCTGTGCATGCGTAGAGGCCTGGCTGGTACATTAAATGGTATGAGCTCGAGAAGTTCAGAGCAAGTCAATTCGTTGACACATATTTTTCTAAGCGTTACACAGTCGATTAAGTGTCGTCTTTGGCTTAAGGAAATTAAATTATATCGCTTAAGGAGGTCATTGTAGTGCTTGCCAGAAGCACCATTGAGGCGATAATTAAGAATTCGTAAGAATTTTTTCTGCACACCTTCTACTTGAGCCATGTATACGGCGTAAAAGGGATTCCAAATTTGACAGGCATATTCTAATTGAGACTGCACAAGCATTTTATAAAGGTATATGTAGGGAGCTTCGTTTTTAAAAGGTCGTGTGACTCTTGTAATGAAACCTAGAATACGGTACGCGTTATTAACAACATAGTCTACATGCCTATCCAAGGTAAGTTTGGAGTCCAAAATGATTCCAAGATCTTTGATAAAAGTTACAGTATCTAGACAATGGTTCCCAAGAGTAAGTTTAGAGTCGATTTTGTTTTTATTTCTAGTAAATATAATATGATTGCACTTAGTATAGTTCAAATATAGTTTATTATGTTTGCAGTAATCAACGAATCTGTTCAGATCCTCCTGAATACAAAGCACGTCAGATGGTGACAGAACTGTTTTGTATATATTTTTTTTTTTTTTTTTCATTGAGGTTACTTATAACTAAAGATTTGGTACTTTACCTTTTCGCTAACTCGACCAAACGCTTATACGTGTTTTCAGTCTCCCTCATCTCGTTTAACTTAGCAACAAGAGTGTCATTGCACAATATGGCTCTGGATAAACCTAAGGCATCAGCTGTCCCCGACGACATATTCTCAACAAAGCGATGTTTCATTTTCTTCATGATGATGTCTAGGGACTTCCCCTGTTTGGGGTCTGCGTGTAATTTATTATAGTTTATTGTTACTTGTTCCTGTAATAAAACGAGTAAATTTGAGTTATAAATATTATCATTTTATAGATGTCTGTTTAAGCCAACAAGCAAAAATTAAAATTTCTTAAAACACTTACCTTGGCCGCTTGAATCATTTTAGCTACTTCAACCTTAGTCTTTCCTTTAACCGTTTGTCCATTCACACCTACGAGCTCATCACCACTTTGCAAAGTCCCATCTTTTGATGCAGGAGTGTTATCGAAAATCTGGAATTAAACAATATCGATACTAAAAATACGTTTGTATAGTCCGTAATTAAAATAAACAAGACAATTATATTTACAAATATATTATCTTTTGTTCTTATGTAATAATCACAATACCTGAACAATATAAAGACATGGACATAAAGGTGCGCCTCCACCGATGCTTATACCAATGAGGTTTTTCTCGTCCTTAGTTAAAACAACGCTTCCTGAAGTCACTGTCATACCCCTAGAAATATTCAAAGCCTAGTGTTAATGCTTAAGGTCTAATGATGACGTAAAGCCACCAAGTAATTTAATTATAAATATTAATTATGTAATTTTATCTAATTCGTTTAGAAGGCTTTAATTTACCTTTCGCTTGTTGCTTTAAGTCATCTTTAAGGTTACTGTAGAGAATCCATTACCTCTTAGAGCAATATTCAAATTTACAAATAATATTTTTATTTTAGAACAAACAACTTAAGTTTATTTTTGTATTATTAAGAGTAGGTACGTCAACATTTTATTTGAGCTGTAAGTGTTCGTCGAAATAGGAAGAGAATTATTTCTTCTCATACCACAGATAATAAGATGATAAAACCATTTAATTGTTTCTAAGTTATATAATTAGCATAAACACTACGAGGGTGCTGGAAGTATGAATAAAACACAGGTTTTCACGAATTATTTTATTTAGCGCTATCTATTGAAACATTGTGTAAAATGAAATTGGCTTGCTAAGACATTGATTACGATAAGGGTAGATCTCACTTACCTAAAACTTAAACACAGGATTACATGTTTTAACTAGCACATTAGTAGCTTTTAACTAAGTAAGTACCGGTGCTTTAAATTAATTTAAATGATCGTGCGTTATTAAATTATTATCTTTCGAAGTACTTACATAAGATTTTGGTATTCAATTAAGTATCTATTTTTTCTCATGTCGTTGTAGATACATTCTGTATTTTCTGTGTCTTCGACTCTATAAATATTTGGTTAGTTACAAAATGTTAACAAAATGTAAATGAATTAAATTTCATTCCTACTTACACTTCGAGCCGTATGGGGATGTCAAGAACAGGTATATCTTCAATCACAATGGAAGCACTGAATTTAATTAATAAAACCGAATAAGTTTGGTAACAAAAATAAAGAGTAACAAAAACAACTTTTACCTTTCGTCAACAGGAAGTAGTAGATTCGAACTTTTAGTTATATCCGGTTTTGGCTTGCTAAATATTAAAATTAATTAAACAAATGAAATTTGTGTATTTCCGATTTGGTGCGACGCGTTTATTTACGTGTAAATGCGGAACAAAAATAAATTAAATTAATTACATCTTATCTTCATACAATTTGTTTCCAATCGTCAACATGCTTGTACAATAATTTGGATCATAAAAGGGCAGAATTTGCACTCTCTGAGACATGAGCCTGGCCAGAAAAATCCAACAATTATACAAAACAAACAGCCAACTCAAATACTAGATAATATTCTGTAAAAGGGAAGTTACCGATAAACAAAACAGATAAAGCATTTTAAAGCTACAACGCTTGGTTACGTACATTTTGTCCTCTTCGAAAAAGAAATCATCGTCATATTCTTGCATCATTTTAGCACTTGGAAATAATAAATAATATACAGACCAACAAGACAACACAACGTTGTCAAAATAATCGATTTCTGAATTACACGTCGGTAAAACAGTTCACGCATGCGCTTTGTCGTTTTAGTGACGACCAATCTTAAAAGTTATAGAAATTTTAATGTAGTTAACAAATTTTTGTAAAAAGTTTACAATTTCCTGATATTAATTTCCGCGCAAAGGCTCTCATTCGTTAATACAATAAAATCCTTGTTGAGTGGCCATCAATATTTTTTTTTTGTATTCATAGAATAAGTCCTGTAGTGTTTATAACTAATATAGTTAAAAACATATTTTCTTATGTGCGTAGTTTTAATTTTTGTGTATAAAAGATAACTAAGTACTATCCAGTAACAATTACGGTCTGTTGCACAACTGCAATCATTTTGTTATGTGATACTTCGTGCTTTGAATTACTTAAGTCACCTAATACTCCTTTCTTAAGACTTAAGGTCGTGTGCCAGGTTTAGTAGACATAGTTTATATTTCACTTATGTAGTGGGCTTAATCTAAGAAATAGTTATATTTCACCTTCTGCGAAACATTAAAAAATAAATACAATGCTTCGCACACGGCCAGAACCCGTACACAATACGAGCTAAAGAGCTGGCTTAAACAAGTTATACGATCTCTAACCCCCCAGTTAACTTACTATTATTAAATGATAATCACTTAACCCGAGGTCATGGGTAAATTTTCACTAATTATGATTATGTAATAATAACGAAACACATCAGTTAAATACTTCGTAATTCGCATAGCATATGTTATTTTGGCGGTCGCCGTGTCGCAAGGTATAAAGTAATTCAACTAAATTATAGTCCGGTTAAGAAACTCGAACTGCTTGTAAAAGTTGCAACAAATACGGGTTGGACACGGCGTTGTATTGACTTGGAAAAATGAGAGCTCCAGTGAGTTTTGCTGTGATATTTTTTAGTTTTAGTGCGCAATTAGTGTTAGGGTGAGCAGTTAGTGTTTAGTGATTTCTGTTTTACCGACATTTATTGTAATACGGATACGCCGTACTAACGGAAACGGGACTCGATATTCTTTAATATTAAAATTATTAAATCGGACAGATTATATTTTAATAATTTAAGTTTCTAAATCATTATAACTTCTGTCTATAGTTTACGCGAGTAGTACAGATTTAAATAAAACACTTTAACGGTTTATAACGCGATATATTAGTTAAACTTATTTAAAAATGATTTTTAACTTTGGCCCGACGTTTCGGATGCTTCCGTTCCGTAAGTGTTTTATTTAAATCATTATAGCTTCACCAATCATACTCAATATTATTTTATATCTAAGTACTTTAGTATCTTCAATTTACAGTCATTATTCTTAGTAAAGTAAATGGTAAATTAACCGCACTCATTCGCTTAATATACGGCGAATAAAATTATGTCTTACAAACTATTAAATTTATGGCAATTTTACGGTCTCTAAAGTGTTAATTTATAAGCACATAATGTTAAGACTCTTGACAGTATACAGATTAATATGGCGTTAAATAACTATCTAACATCGTAGGCAGATAAAGTAATTAGTTAATATTTTAAAGATACTAGGATTAAAAAAATATGTGCAATATTATTTTTAATGAAATTAATGTAACGATTAACACATTGGAGTTCTTGTTCAAGATTTCCCGTCAAAATTTTGACATTTCCACGTTTTACAGATAATAACAATATGCCTACTGCTTCTGTGTAACCGACCATCTCACGCCGGTTCCGCTCCTCCCGTTGGTCCCGTTGGCACTTTTATTCAGACCAATTTTGTAGGATTTCCTCTCGTGCACGATGCTCAGACATGGATATTCGACCCGGATGTGTCGATACGAAGAAGAAAGGAGTTCAGAGAGCTAAACGGTGATAAGGGAGAGAAACTAATCGAGAGACTAGGGTTGGGGATCGATGGGTATGGAGATCAGAGGCTGAGACAGCAGAGGATTCGTGATGAAGGGCATCTAGGGGGTTTAAACGCATTACTGCCTTAGTTTCCGTAGCTTAATTAAATATGTTAATAATTTTCTAGTAGTTAGTGAACTACACTAGTACTAGTGAGTACAAGACTGGTGCAAAGTTAAGTTAAGTAAGTTCGTTAAGTTTTTATGATTACCTACTTAAAACAGTTTTATCGGTTCAAATCGCGAAATGTATTAATTAAACTTATTTATTTTGACATAATGGATACCCTTCTTATTCAGTCTCCCCGTGATCACGGCAGCGGCAAAGCATCCGAAACGTCGGGGTATATTTAAAGTGATCTGTAAATAATACTTACATTTTGCGTTTTAAACCATTAAAATGTATTTTAGCCGCGTAAACTACAGACAGTATTTTGATACTTTGAATTGCATTGCACATTGGTTTATCTCGTGTCTGTATACAACTACATGTTTCGTAAGAAATTTCCCAAAAACCAAGCACGACCATGACGTTATTGTAAAGATTGAAGTAATAGCGGATGTAGAAGAAAAGTGATTCATATAGGTATTTTGTTTTATTTTCCATTCTATTTAAGCAACCCTGGCCTCGATCGAAGTCGACGTTTAAAATAGAAGAGTAATCCTTTCTTTCGCTAAGTTTAACGTAATTGTCAATTTTCACAATGCAGTAATAAAAATATTTATGTCCGTATTTACCTTTCCTCAATAAATTTAAAAAAAGCATAGCACGATTATAATTGTACGCATAAAATAAATTTACATAAGACTGTAAGACAGCTAGATTATTCTACAAAAATAGTGAAATTAGTTTATTACCTTAATGACTACTATTAAAACTTGTTGCAATTATTTAATAACCACAAGTAGAACTACTTGTCACGCAGACTCCAAACATTTATGAGACCTTTTCGTTTACTAACGAAAAATATAATTTACTTTTTTTATTAAAGTTACCAAAAAAATATTGTAAAATTAAGTTTAAAACTTGTCATAATAAATTAAATTAGGCAGAAATACAAAAGTAAAACAGACAGATTCAACATTTTTTTCAGTTTTATTTTTATATTATTGTACATAATAACGAAAGCATTACACGTAATCCAATTAACTATATAATATACCCATTGACAATATAATATATTATTCAAAGGAACTACAAATCTACGAGTTCAAGATATTGAAATTCATTACTCTTCAAAATAACAGATGTCACTATGGTGCAATCATTAATAGGAAACTTTTTTTCGATTAGCGATAACTATTTAGCGTCAAAAAATTTGGTTTCCCATGTGCTACAGTATATACATGGTAACTAAAACTTAAATATTATATTTTGTTATTTAATTTGACTATCCTAATCGCCAACGTCCATACCACGTTGAATACACCGGTTCTCGTCCGATCACCGAAGTTAAGCAACGTCGGGCGCGGTCAGTACTTGGATGGGTGACCGCCTGGGAACACCGCGTGATGTTGGCTTTTTGCTTATTTATTACATAATACGATTTTTATAGATCTGAAGGACGTTAAGGTCTTTTCTTTCTTTATTTTTTTATATTCTTCTAAAGTTTCTAAGCAAAAAATTAATTTAATAATGTATATGACGCATACAGCATGCCATTTAATTGAGATTTTAATTATGTTGTGTGAAAAAAACTATCTACGCTTCTTTAAAATCACATGTTGTACTTACACTTTACTTTAAATTAATTTAAATGATCGTGCGTTATTAAATTATTATCTTTCGAAGTACTTACATAAGATTTTGGTATTCAATTAAGTATCTATTTTTTCTCATGTCGTTGTAGATACATTCTGTATTTTCTGTGTCTTCGACTCTATAAATATTTGGTTAGTTACAAAATGTTAACAAAATGTAAATGAATTAAATTTCATTCCTACTTACACTTCGAGCCGTATGGGGATGTCAAGAACAGGTATATCTTCAATCACAATGGAAGCACTGAATTTAATTAATAAAACCGAATAAGTTTGGTAACAAAAATAAAGAGTAACAAAAACAACTTTTACCTTTCGTCAACAGGAAGTAGTAGATTCGAACTTTTAGTTATATCCGGTTTTGGCTTGCTAAATATTAAAATTAATTAAACAAATGAAATTTGTGTATTTCCGATTTGGTGCGACGCGTTTATTTACGTGTAAATGCGGAACAAAAATAAATTAAATTAATTACATCTTATCTTCATACAATTTGTTTCCAATCGTCAACATGCTTGTACAATAATTTGGATCATAAAAGGGCAGAATTTGCACTCTCTGAGACATGAGCCTGGCCAGAAAAATCCAACAATTATACAAAACAAACAGCCAACTCAAATACTAGATAATATTCTGTAAAAGGGAAGTTACCGATAAACAAAACAGATAAAGCATTTTAAAGCTACAACGCTTGGTTACGTACATTTTGTCCTCTTCGAAAAAGAAATCATCGTCATATTCTTGCATCATTTTAGCACTTGGAAATAATAAATAATATACAGACCAACAAGACAACACAACGTTGTCAAAATAATCGATTTCTGAATTACACGTCGGTAAAACAGTTCACGCATGCGCTTTGTCGTTTTAGTGACGACCAATCTTAAAAGTTATAGAAATTTTAATGTAGTTAACAAATTTTTGTAAAAAGTTTACAATTTCCTGATATTAATTTCCGCGCAAAGGCTCTCATTCGTTAATACAATAAAATCCTTGTTGAGTGGCCATCAATAATTTTTTTTGTATTCATAGAATAAGTCCTGTAGTGTTTATAACTAATATAGTTAAAAACATATTTTCTTATGTGCGTAGTTTTAATTTTTGTGTATAAAAGATAACTAAGTACTATCCAGTAACAATTACGGTCTGTTGCACAACTGCAATCATTTTGTTATGTGATACTTCGTGCTTTGAATTACTTAAGTCACCTAATACTCCTTTCTTAAGACTTAAGGTCGTGTGCCAGGTTTAGTAGACATAGTTTATATTTCACTTATGTAGTGGGCTTAATCTAAGAAATAGTTATATTTCACCTTCTGCGAAACATTAAAAAATAAATACAATGCTTCGCACACGGCCAGAACCCGTACACAATACGAGCTAAAGAGCTGGCTTAAACAAGTTATACGATCTCTAACCCCCCAGTTAACTTACTATTATTAAATGATAATCACTTAACCCGAGGTCATGGGTAAATTTTCACTAATTATGATTATGTAATAATAACGAAACACATCAGTTAAATACTTCGTAATTCGCATAGCATATGTTATTTTGGCGGTCGCCGTGTCGCAAGGTATAAAGTAATTCAACTAAATTATAGTCCGGTTAAGAAACTCGAACTGCTTGTAAAAGTTGCAACAAATACGGGTTGGACACGGCGTTGTATTGACTTGGAAAAATGAGAGCTCCAGTGAGTTTTGCTGTGATATTTTTTAGTTTTAGTGCGCAATTAGTGTTAGGGTGAGCAGTTAGTGTTTAGTGATTTCTGTTTTACCGACATTTATTGTAATACGGATACGCCGTACTAACGGAAACGGGACTCGATATTCTTTAATATTAAAATTATTAAATCGGACAGATTATATTTTAATAATTTAAGTTTCTAAATCATTATAACTTCTGTCTATAGTTTACGCGAGTAGTACAGATTTAAATAAAACACTTTAACGGTTTATAACGCGATATATTAGTTAAACTTATTTAAAAATGATTTTTAACTTTGGCCCGACGTTTCGGATGCTTCCGTTCCGTAAGTGTTTTATTTAAATCATTATAGCTTCACCAATCATACTCAATATTATTTTATATCTAAGTACTTTAGTATCTTCAATTTACAGTCATTATTCTTAGTAAAGTAAATGGTAAATTAACCGCACTCATTCGCTTAATATACGGCGAATAAAATTATGTCTTACAAACTATTAAATTTATGGCAATTTTACGGTCTCTAAAGTGTTAATTTATAAGCACATAATGTTAAGACTCTTGACAGTATACAGATTAATATGGCGTTAAATAACTATCTAACATCGTAGGCAGATAAAGTAATTAGTTAATATTTTAAAGATACTAGGATTAAAAAAATATGTGCAATATTATTTTTAATGAAATTAATGTAACGATTAACACATTGGAGTTCTTGTTCAAGATTTCCCGTCAAAATTTTGACATTTCCACGTTTTACAGATAATAACAATATGCCTACTGCTTCTGTGTAACCGACCATCTCACGCCGGTTCCGCTCCTCCCGTTGGTCCCGTTGGCACTTTTATTCAGACCAATTTTGTAGGATTTCCTCTCGTGCACGATGCTCAGACATGGATATTCGACCCGGATGTGTCGATACGAAGAAGAAAGGAGTTCAGAGAGCTAAACGGTGATAAGGGAGAGAAACTAATCGAGAGACTAGGGTTGGGGATCGATGGGTATGGAGATCAGAGGCTGAGACAGCAGAGGATTCGTGATGAAGGGCATCTAGGGGGTTTAAACGCATTACTGCCTTAGTTTCCGTAGCTTAATTAAATATGTTAATAATTTTCTAGTAGTTAGTGAACTACACTAGTACTAGTGAGTACAAGACTGGTGCAAAGTTAAGTTAAGTAAGTTCGTTAAGTTTTTATGATTACCTACTTAAAACAGTTTTATCGGTTCAAATCGCGAAATGTATTAATTAAACTTATTTATTTTGACATAATGGATACCCTTCTTATTCAGTCTCCCCGTGATCACGGCAGCGGCAAAGCATCCGAAACGTCGGGGTATATTTAAAGTGATCTGTAAATAATACTTACATTTTGCGTTTTAAACCATTAAAATGTATTTTAGCCGCGTAAACTACAGACAGTATTTTGATACTTTGAATTGCATTGCACATTGGTTTATCTCGTGTCTGTATACAACTACATGTTTCGTAAGAAATTTCCCAAAAACCAAGCACGACCATGACGTTATTGTAAAGATTGAAGTAATAGCGGATGTAGAAGAAAAGTGATTCATATAGGTATTTTGTTTTATTTTCCATTCTATTTAAGCAACCCTGGCCTCGATCGAAGTCGACGTTTAAAATAGAAGAGTAATCCTTTCTTTCGCTAAGTTTAACGTAATTGTCAATTTTCACAATGCAGTAATAAAAATATTTATGTCCGTATTTACCTTTCCTCAATAAATTTAAAAAAAGCATAGCACGATTATAATTGTACGCATAAAATAAATTTACATAAGACTGTAAGACAGCTAGATTATTCTACAAAAATAGTGAAATTAGTTTATTACCTTAATGACTACTATTAAAACTTGTTGCAATTATTTAATAACCACAAGTAGAACTACTTGTCACGCAGACTCCAAACATTTATGAGACCTTTTCGTTTACTAACGAAAAATATAATTTACTTTTTTTATTAAAGTTACCAAAAAAATATTGTAAAATTAAGTTTAAAACTTGTCATAATAAATTAAATTAGGCAGAAATACAAAAGTAAAACAGACAGATTCAACATTTTTTTCAGTTTTATTTTTATATTATTGTACATAATAACGAAAGCATTACACGTAATCCAATTAACTATATAATATACCCATTGACAATATAATATATTATTCAAAGGAACTACAAATCTACGAGTTCAAGATATTGAAATTCATTACTCTTCAAAATAACAGATGTCACTATGGTGCAATCATTAATAGGAAACTTTTTTTCGATTAGCGATAACTATTTAGCGTCAAAAAATTTGGTTTCCCATGTGCTACAGTATATACATGGTAACTAAAACTTAAATATTATATTTTGTTATTTAATTTGACTATCCTAATCGCCAACGTCCATACCACGTTGAATACACCGGTTCTCGTCCGATCACCGAAGTTAAGCAACGTCGGGCGCGGTCAGTACTTGGATGGGTGACCGCCTGGGAACACCGCGTGATGTTGGCTTTTTGCTTATTTATTACATAATACGATTTTTATAGATCTGAAGGACGTTAAGGTCTTTTCTTTCTTTATTTTTTTATATTCTTCTAAAGTTTCTAAGCAAAAAATTAATTTAATAATGTATATGACGCATACAGCATGCCATTTAATTGAGATTTTAATTATGTTGTGTGAAAAAAACTATCTACACTTCTTTAAAATCACATGTTGTACTTACATTGCTTTAATAACATATTTTATAATTATGACTCTATAAGGTATATGCCACTCTTACGTAAAAATAAAACATTACCAATTATTTTAATTATTTCTTTATTTATTCAAGTATTACAATATCGAGACTATAAATTCAAAACGTAACCTAATGACAGGTAATAATAAAAATAGGTACTTAACCTACCTATTTCGAGAATAGGAAATCTAGCTTACCCTAAAATGGAATATTTGGAGTAAAAAAATATTTTTTGTGATTACGTTATGCACCTGTGGAAAGTATGCTTTGGTAAGAGAATAACAATAATAATATATAAACCAATAATCTTTTAGCAAATCATCGCTTCCTTTCATATATGCAAGTAGTTTTTTTATTTGAAAATGACATGGATCACTTTTTGGGATGAATCTACAATATAATTATTAATTATTCTCTGTGCAAAGTTGTAAGCAGTATAAAGCTTACAATACTAACGAACGATAAGTTTATTAAAGATTCAAAACAAATATTTATTACAAAATTTGAACCTCCAAGAAAATTATCATTGCTTACAATCTAATGGATTAAATAGGCAGTTATAATATATTTTTTGGGTAAAATTCAATGATTCTAACAAATCCGAGTGATTATCCAAAGTGTTCTTTTCTTTTACAATTGTTGCTCTAAATACATTAAATGCATACCTATAATTGAAGTATCGTAACAGTAAAATTGTGACTTTATCTTAACTAAACTAGTAAGACCAAAAAAGGGAATTTCGAAGACATTTATTACTTAGTAAGGCACCTCAAGTTTTTGGTTTTATCGAAAATAATATTATTAAGAGGATGGTTCACTAAATAGGACAAACCTTAATCTAAGAACACCGAAGCTTTACCTTAATATGGCATTATTATAAATAATGATTAATTATTATTAGGAGATCAAAATGTACTTAAGGCCGTTTATTAATACACAAAATTGATAAAGTAGCCCTTTGAAAAGGTAGCTTTTTAATAACATGATCTTTTTTTAACAAAAGATATTATTAATATGCCTTTTTAAAGATACACAGTTATTTTTCTTGTGTCCATACTCGTATCTCAATTGTTAAAACCAGGTAAAGGTTTGGAAAAAAACTACTAGATGGCGCTAATAAAAAGTTTTACCACAATATGAATTAATAAGTTATCATAAAACATTTTTTCGTGTTCGCATGTCTATCAATTTTTTAGTAAATAATCGGAGGCCATTTTGTGTAATGTCATGAAGCCGTTTCGTTGATAGGTCGAATCGTGTTCTTGAAGTCGGTCTTTACGAGTCTTTTCTTCTGACAACGGGGACCTGAAGACAATTGTAAAAAAATAATTTAATAATAAAAAATGGAAAAAGAAAACCTTACATTTATTTACAAATGTATAAGGTTTTAACCAATAACTCAACTTAAAAAACTACCGATCTTGTTCTATGTCGATTTAAAAGTAAGGTCAAGTTAAAATAAGTGTTTTAGTACTTAAACAATTCTACGACGCACCTGTATGACCCGAGGGCTAAGTTAATTTATTCATAGAAGATCATAAATGATATGAATTCGTTTTTTACTAACACGTGAATTGATTAAGGTTGAAGTAGAATATTTTTAATGAAATGTGCTAAATTAACATATCATATACATAGTAAGTGCTTTTATTAAAATGACAATTGTCAAATAGCAATGTATGAGAAAGAATATGTTCAAAAACGCAAAGAAGTTATACAATACGGCACTATAGACTATTCATCACTTGATGGTGACCGGGATGGAAGTGCGATATTCCTACCACACATTTAATATCCAGATTTCCATAAGAAGTCCAACATGTATCAGAATTTTTTTAATATTGACTCGGAAAATATCGAACCCATGACCCGTTGATTATGAGCCATACATTGTTACCATTAGACCAACGAGAAAATTTTTAAAAAGCTGACTGGTTGACTCATTGATACTAAGTGTATCGAGAGCTTTATCTTTAAATAAATAAACCTAATCTATTATTGTGAACAGCGACCAATCTTAATATGAATCATAATGTTTTTATCATTACATGTATAGCGTGACACAATCACCTTGAAATAAAGCAAAAAAGTAAATCTATGAGGGCGCGGTTGATGTCCCAGAGGGAGCGGTCCCACGCCCTATCTTTGCAATTAGTGGGCTAATAACTGATGGTATAAATTACTGAGAACCACGTAGGGTTGTGGCAAACTGCGCAGTTTGGCGCGTGAAATTATGAGAGGAATGTTAATTATGCTAAAGGTGTCTATGAAATGAGTCAGGAATAAATTAATAAATAATAAATTACATTATACATTTTCTATAGCAAGAACAAGATAAAGGTTGAAATTACATTGCGCAAGAGGTGTATGTGTCAATAGGTTAAAAAAATCGACGATGACGTGTAAGACTCGGTAGCTCAATTGGTTACAGGAACAGCACGGAACGTTGATGCCGGTTCAAGTCCTACGCGATTTTAAATTTATATTATTATTATTTATATTACTTATTATACATTTATATAACTGCCAATGAAACAGACACAAAAATACGCCCCCATAAGCGAAGCGAATTCACTTTAAATATATAGGTATAATTTTGTTATAACAGAGAACGACATACAACTATGGGGAAGGCGAAATATCTCAGCTAAAAAACATTTAATATCCAGATTTCCAGAAGTTTTCTAAAAATTATGAATTTTAAGAAACGTGTTAGTCCCAGTGGGGATGAAACCCGTGACCTATCAGTTCTGATCCATACATTGCTACTATTAGACCAACAAGAAATATTTTAGCAACCTGCCTGGTTTGACTAACGTATTGAAATTTCCCCAGCGCAGCCTTTACAGATCAAACTGCGTTATTTCCAATAGAACTATTTAGCAAGGCTTAAAGGTCCGCGTCTCATCAGGTTTTGCAATAGTAATTCGTGATATGCCATGTGTGGGTAAATGTTACCGACGATTGAGCTGTGATAGCCGACAAGGTCGCGAAGACTATTTTAATTGTTCGTGAAATTGCTATTAATTGTTCCTATTATGCTGGTCTTAATAGAATTTGCGTCTTTTTATGTCTAGATTATCGCACATTTGAATGGTGATCGTTCGATTTCTGGCGTTATTAAATTTTACAATTTGCCTCTAAATTAATAAAACTCAATAGAGTTTTATGTTTTTTTTTTAACAATATAAGTAGATATATTTTTGGTGCTCACACTAAGTGTGATCTGTTCGTGAATATGAAAGTACTTGATAAACCGCTTAAAATTCCTCATAGGTTATAAGGTGACTAAATTATTTTTTTTATTATTATTTTTCTACTGGGGGACACCGATATAAGGTCCACGTTATTTGCTAACCATCACTCATTTCTTCATTTCGCCTTCGTAAAGATTTTATTTACAGGCAATATTTGATTAGACTTATGTGGCCAGCAGGACAAAACTATGTTTTTTTTTCTGGGATTTGAGCCCAGGGCCTCTCGTGCATTTAACTATGTAAATAAAGAGAAGGCATGATTGTTACTGTAGTTGTATGTAATGTGCTTTTATTATAATTATTTTAAATAGTGCATTTGGTGTTTATGTTACTTAAATAGACAAGAAATGTCTCAGAACTTACCGTAGTAATTACAAATACAACGTCGGAACTCTCTTCTGCGCTCCGAGGGACAACTTCGTCCCGAGCTTTTTGTAATTTTCGTTTTTAATCCTACATTTTGGTTTCTCATTCGTTTCAACGGGGCAACCCTTCAGCTCCCAAACTAAATTCGTCAAAGACTTCGGTCTGCTTAGCTTTCTGGACCTTTTCTCTGGTAATTTTGGACCGTTCCCAGAATCACCAGAAGTCCTTCCGCCCGAGTGGCTGGAATCCAACGTTCCGTCCAATTCCATAGATTGGTGGATGTTTGATAAGCTCTTATAGCGTATGTTGAAAATAGGCGAATCGCCCTTCGATAATGGTCGCGCTGGACTAGTAACGGGACTAGGTGCCTCCTTGGTGGGCGAATGACTCTTTTGGCTGAATAGCATTCTATTCTTGTTATTACTTACATTATTTTTAATGTAGAGCTTGGGTAAATTCGGTACTGGCGCTAAGACTTTCTCCTTAACTGGAGGGTTAATGGCAGTTTTACGTGATCGCTTTTCAGCTTTTTGATTCAATGGTTTCTTGGTTGGAATGGTCTCTATAGGTGGTGGTTCTGGTTTTATTTCGGTTATTAGGGGCATGTGAATTGGCGTCGGTGCTGGAGATGATGGCGCAGAATCGTGTCGTGATATTTCATTGGAATAGGAGGCTTTAATATTTTTCGGAAGCGGAGCGAAACCTCTTACATAGTCATAGATTTGATCGATCTCGTCGTATTCATCAGGAATGCTATTCTCATCTCGATGACTGCTGTAGATGTGGTTATGTTTGTTCATGTGTTTGTGATGATTCGCCGAGTCGGAGGATGCACTTCGTCTCAAGAAATATCCTGTTTTTATCAAAGGTGGTGCGTGTAGGGGCGCACTCAGGAGCCTTTTAGGATCACCAAGTTTTCCATCTAAGACTTGAATTCTATCTACAACATCTACTAGCAATCTATTACATTTTTCTACTAATCGAGAGAACTCCATGAAATTTTTGATCTGTTCCTCGTTCTTGCAACGTAGCATTTTTAATGGTGCCGCCAAGGGTAATGCAATGAGGGAATTGCCTTCCTTTTGTAAAGGCAGAGCAAATACGTGGTCTTCTTCAAAAATAGATAGCAGTCGAAGCTCTGGCAGAAAATGATTTGCACTTTTCAAGCCTCTAGGCGGTGATCCATGCACTAATCTTACCGTTATCGGCAATCGTTTAGTCAACAGTGTCTTCGCTGTATGTACTCCGCTAATATTTTCTTCTTTAGCAACAGCTGAAAATTTTCCTCGTTGGTCTAAACTTAGCAATACAGTATCACCTTTTGTGTCAGTGCATTTCAAATATTTGTTTTTTCCCAGAAACACGTCGCCTTTAGGCATTATAATCTCTCCAGCTGGTAAATTTCTCGCACCGTCAGCGGTTATATTACCATCTAAATCAACTTTAGCACAAATAACTCTGACAGCCTCCCTCACTAAGCACCCGTCCTCTAATTTGCGCCTCGCTAATTCAGCTACAGACTCTATACATCTCACAGCCCGCCCTTCTTCACTAAGAAGTTCAAAGTAACCCTTATAAGAATCAGGAATGGCAATTCGCGGCCCAACACTGACCATTCGACGTCCTTCTTTTAATTTGATGGCTTGAGCTATGATTTTCTTTCTCTTTCCCGCTGAAACAATAAGCGCTGTGCTCTGTAAACCTGGACTAGGTAATGTCGGTACTCCAAGGCCTCCATACTGCCCTTTAATTATTTTAGCTACGTTTGGTAGTCTGTTCTTGATGACAAACTCTCGAAGGTAATGGCCCTCATCAGACCAGCGCGACGCTGCGACCACGACTTGCCCGTCAGTGGCTGCCATTGTTATGTCACATCTGAAATTGAGAATATTTGCAAGTTAATATTCGTACAATGATTTTGGTAAATACTAAGCGTTCTAGGTAAAAATCGCGTGTAATTTAATACAACTTTCTCGATAAGTAACGATAGTGTTTGTGAATAAGCTAATTGGTGTTTGTTAATTTTATAGAAAAAAAAAGACAGTTTTAAGATATACTTCCGTAAGAGTTCTGCAATTGACTAAAAAGGTCTAAGATGCAGATCAAAGATAGACCACGCTACACCTTCTAGACAGACACTTTTCGTTATTAAACAAAGCAAGGCTTTCGATTAAGTGCACTTTATAATCTTAACAAGTCAAGGTTAGTTTAGGTAACTTTTTAAAAAGTCGCGACGTATTCTGGAAAGATTTAATAGTGTGGATGCCTGAATAGTATATTTTTTTTGCATGGAAAACATTTAATAATTCGAAGAACGTATATATTTAGTAAATTTTGTTTGATCTTATGATGTACTATGCTTACATCCGGTTTAAAATTTAAGAGCTATTGTCAAAGCAAGCAAGCAAAACTTAATGGATGGATTATATGGGATGGATATAATGGGGTCGTTAAAAAAAAAGTTTTGAAATGGGTTGAAGACGAAGACGTATATGACATGGTAGATATTTACTTTAGGAATAGACGGTAAGTCGTTTTTCATATTTTGCGACTTGTATAACTATGAAATTTCTATCAACATGGAATGGTGTTTTAATAAATTATTGGGAATTCTTTAACATCTTGAAATGCTGACTTAGAAAGTACTAGTTTGCTTAAATATTCATTATTTATTTCGCTACACATTTGTTAACTTAGACTATGTATAGAAGCAACATAAATAGTTAATATTCCCTTGTATAACAGACAAAACCACAAGCAAACAGTATTAAACTAAACATCTAAAACAGTTATCTGTGAACAATTTCATAACAGTTAGCCCGGAATTATAGAAGTACATAAAACTATTGCGGCTGCACTGATAAAACCTATTTGGTGGTGACCGCAAGCATGGTGGTTTTTTGCCCACTATTGGGATGTAGTACTGTTAAAATGATTCGTATCTTTATTATACGGTGCATCTTATAGGTGTGGGGGTTCATGGTATACCTACGTGAAAGTATTAGTTTCTATTTTTGTTTTTTTTGGGTTTATAAAACTGAAGAGTTTCTTTATTAGTTTGTTTTTGTGAACGTGAAGTCGCTGACACAGCTAGTATGATATAAACCTTGCTTCTCTTTCTGCAGGACTTGATAGATTTATTTTATTGATTACATTTTTTGTAGAAAGCTTTAGGACAAATCAAATATTGTTATATTAATGGACACGATTATGATTATAATCATATCGATTACGATAATGGAATCAATTTTTGATACAAATATTTTCAAACTTTTCTTCCACATCCGTTCCATGAATGCTAATAATGTTTTTTAGTATTGAGATATCACTAGCATGTTCTGTACTGCACAAAACCACAGGACATGCCCGCACGCCACTCGTTCTCACATTATACCTAGTGTTTTACAGTTATTGTTTTCAAGACCAATTTGAACCAATTTTTCGATCCCGGTGTACCACTTACTTAACGCTATAGCGCGTAACGTAGTGTTATTCGGCGTAACATAGCCATTGTTTCTGTACATTGACCTTCATACGGAGTTATATAACCGTTTAATTATCTATGTTATGGTTCATAACACTTGTGCATGAACTTTGCAACCGTTACGACTTTTCAACTATGAACTCCATGACGAATTAACAAAACAATTCTTAGTTTAAAAGCTTTATTTATTCAAAATCCCCTAAAAAATGAAATTAGTCATTTGTATTTTCTTTTTAAGAAAATTATACAGTCTATCAAAGGGGGGGCTTTTTTTAATGAGTTTAACATAAATTACACAAGACAGACAAGAAGAAAATAATACTCTTGCTTATATAATTAAAAATACTTATACGTAGCAGGTACTTTGAAATTAACTGTTACCCTAACCGATAAGAATTCACTCAAAACCGTTTTATAATCAAAATTGCATCAAATGCAAGTCATCAATTTGTTCAAGTAAATCTATACTGTCAATCGTATTGAGTAAGATATCACAGAGTAAGAATCGATAAAAAATATAAATTTCGACTCGATCACGACTCGGTTGCACGATTATTTTTATTGTACCTCAGGGTATAATGTTGTGGATAACTGTACTAGATCTCTGTTAGACAAATAAGGCTCGCCAAGCGGGCCTCGACACCAGCGGGAATACCAACGTTACAAGCGGAGCGGGTTTTTAGGGTGTTAGGCGCTTCCGACAAAAAACGACAGATTGGAACGGGTATAAGGAGTAACATTCTCTAAACAAAGTAACTTACTTTCTTTTGATAGTGTCTAATATGAAAACAATAACAAACAAAGTAAGTACGCAATTTAAATTATTGTTGCTATCATTATTAATCTAATTAATTCAGAACTAAGCACTCCTCTTATTTGTATATTTGTACTACAAATATACAAATAAGAGAGTGTTTAATATATCGAGTTATAATTTACTAATTTAAATCGAGTTAAATCAATTTAGTAATAGTTAATAAACAACGGGTTTTAGGTTCTTAAAAAAAACTTTTCCTTATTTGAAGACAACCGTGCTGATTTGATATAAGTTGAAAGGTGGCAGTATGTAACAGATTAAATGTAAATCAACATATGTCAAAAAAACGCTTATTGTTAACTTGATTTCACGTTCAAACGAATTTTAGGTATTTTTTCGTATCCGTTAAGTTTAGCAACCCGGCCTAAATAAAACAATTTAACGGTTTAAAACGCGATATATTAGTTAGCCTTCGTTAAAGTGTTTTATTTAAATGTGTACTACTCGCGTAAACTATAGACAGTATTTAACCCGTCCTAAGTTAAGGACTGTAGCGTCATGCAATTCTCTCTTTAATATCGCTACTTTTATGGTGACGCTCTAAACATCTCCTGACGGAGCTGTTTCCCATGCTCTTGTTATTTGATCGTAGACCGACGAGCCTTGTTGGGATTTACTGACGGAATCGTAATTATGGGAATTATTATTTTTACCAGATTATTTATTCCCTGCAGCAGTGCATAGGTAACTTTAGATTTGTATAAGCGTAAAATGTTTTATTCGATTTTCGTTTTGGCATCCAAAATCTATCATTTCTTTTACACAACGTACAATACTCATAGATGAAGACTAATATCTGATATAGAATAATTATTGTATTGGCTAAAGAACTGTGTTGGTGATATTTGGTTAAGGAAATCGTGCATTCTTTCAACAAAATATATACTAGATTAAAAAAAATAATAATACATAAGGCAATATCTCTATTTGTAAAAAAATATCCTCGCTTAAAATACAGTTGATCTGAAAAAAGAGCAACTCATCGCTTAATTTATTGTTTTGTTGAAAGAATGCAGCACGATTTCGTTGTCCAATTATCACCAACACACTTCTTTAATTGGATTCAGACTTTTTTGCCGCCTCTTTTTAGTTTAACAAAGCTACATATATTTTTTGGACATAGAGTACGTACACCTAGATCTTATTGATTTACGTTTTATATATCATTCTAGCTGACGTGGCAAACGTTCTTTTGCTATATCTTCATATGTAGTATTTCGACGAAATTTGATTACCATAAAAACGGTTCTTATGAGTTCTTCATCATTGTATTCATATAGATACGTTAATTTCATTACAATGTCTATTTTTGTTAACTGAACTATATGAAAAAAGTCCTTTTGTCTGTTTGTATTACACATAAAAACTATCCGACGCATGAAAGAACATGTAAAGTGTAAAATTAAATCGAACGAGATAAATTTCTGTTATCTTGGCACTAATCAATATTTAATTGACTTTAACGGTTTAAAAAGCGAAATATATTTATGTTTATAAAATGTTTGGGCCATGGTTAAGTTAAATTTAAAACAAGTTAAATAATGCGTTTAAAACCGTTAAAAGTGTTTTATTTAAGCATATCTGATTTCTACTTACTGCTCAACCGACCGAGCACACAGGGCGAAAAAGATGGTTGGCACTAACTAATCCGCTTTAAATATTTACCCACATAACACTGACCCAAAGAAACCTTAAACAATATAATCACGGTGACAGTCGCGGATGTCAGGATGACAGTTCAACTAGGCAGTGAAACCGTGCTCAATTGACAATGGTGGTGTTTTGACGGTTTTTGGGTTGATTAGCGGGTTTTTTAAGTGACAATGCGTGCGAAACAATTAGCAAAACTGTGGCGCTCGCTTTCAAACGATCGGTCCGTTGCTATTATCAAACTTGATTGGGGCCGTAGACAATTACGAAGTTCAATGTATACCATCCCATTCTTTATCATAAGCTCATGAATCATTTATTTGTTGAAAAGAAATTTGTATTATCCGCATTTATTTAGAAGGAATAGTACGTGGCAAAGCATACAAATATCTCCAATAACTAGCAACTACCGTTAACCAATTTGTATTGTAAACGTGTTGCAAATGCTATCACTAATTTTCGATTACATATCTCATTTAAAACGTGATGCGTAGTTTTAAATAAATCGGATAATTAAGTTCACGCTTTACGTTTAAAGTGATTTATTTAAAATAGCACTCGTGTATCATTTGAATGTATTTAGGGATTAAATATTAAATTGAATTTAATTGTGTTGTAACATGTTTAAATAAACAGTTTCAAATTAAAATATAAATTAGTTAACTGATACCTTTTACATATTTTTAAATGTGTACTAACTTGTCTCCCCATGGCCAGGCTACTGCAAATCCGAAACGTCAGGCTGTAGTTAAAATAAATTATAAATATATTTCGAATTTTAAACCGATAAAGATTTTTATTTAAACGTACTACTCGCGTAAACTTACCTATTTGTGTACTAACTACTCTCTTAAATTACTGACAAAACTTATAACATGTTATTTCGCAATTAATTAAAATACTTATTTGTA